AAATTCATCCCCTATATTACCCCCTTATAGAATGAATTTCGAAAATGCTAAAATACGTATTTATTTAATTTTATTGAAGAGCAATAATACCAAGTTTCAAGTAATTCTGATCATACATATTTTTTTCGGATTGTATTATAACGTATCTTCCCGAGGGAATTAGATAATCTCCCGTAGTAAAAAGTAGCCTTTGTCACTCTCCAACTCTCCCAACTATCTCCAAACAAAAAATCACGCCAATCCATCACTCCATTTCGACGTGAACGAAGGACAAACAAACACACTTTCACATTTATAATATTAGTATGGATTGTTTGCACAGCAATAACTGATGGGATGTGCCTGACACAAAAGGGGCATTTCCCTCAGTAAAGTACCAAAAGGAAACTTAGTAAGTTCAATCATTTGGTTTATAACGCGAACTAAAATATATTTTTTTTAATGCAGAAAAATATGTTATCGCGTTTAGCTTCCATCACAAATACAATGGCTAGCGCTAGCACTGAAGGACACGTAGATATGACCCTAATGAATTGTTTACTCAGAATTAAGGCTATTTAGAAATTTTATAATCAATAGTTCGCGTACTAACCCCCTGAAATATTTTCCAATAATTTATTTCATTACTAATAAATAATACTTTCTTAGATTTAAGCGAATATTTGTCATATTAAATAAAATCTCCCATGATTTCTGTACAACATTCGAGAGATTTGGAACCAAAAATGTAAATAAATCTGTGAAAAAATCGGAAAAGATTGTTTTATTTAATACCAAAAAAAATATTCATTTTCTTCAGCTTTAGGTATAGTAATTTTGTATTTTCTGTTTTTTATTATTATTATGCTATATATAAGTAATAAGAGGACATTTCAGTCTTATCTTAAAATATAATATTGACATAATATTTTCAACTAAACTGAATAACAGATACACATATTATAACTTGTGTAATAACTTCGCGAACTTGATGTAAGAAACATATGAGTTCATATAAGTTTCTTATATAATTCAGCAAGTGTAGATTAACGATCGATTTCAGTAAATAGGCAGGCAAGCGGTACCTACTAGTAAGTGCATAAAAAGGTCAAGGCGGTACTTCGCTATCATTGTTCTAATAATGACTTAACATTTTTTTAAACCAAAAATTTCATGTAAAACGTAAATATTTTTAAAACAATATGTTCTTATAAGTAATTGACGTAAACATCAATGAAATATTTCTTTCTTTTTAAATTTTAATTTAAACGTTGTTATTGTTTATCAGAATAAATTCTAATGTCAGTTTACTTACAATGCATCGAGTAAGAATAAAGTATAAAAATTCTTCTAAGCTAGCTATTTAATACTAATAAAAAAAATCATCTTTACATCTATCAATATATAAAAAAATACGTTTTGTTTCAACTATAACATTTTCACTATTAAGAAATTGTAGCCTGACCATTGAATTGAATGACGGTCATTTCTTTACGCTTTTACTTTATGAGAGCTTATTGCATTATGACGATCGCACAAAAGAATTTTCTCTCATATTTTTATCTATCTACCATAAATTTACCAGTATAAATTGAACATGAATAACCCTCATATTTTGACACCCCCATAAAACAGCATCTGTCTATCACAGAGTACGATTTAGAGAGCCAAACACGTTAAAGATGTTAAAAAGAACTTATTGATGCACTAAATCCGCCAATTACGTTGGATATGCATGAAATGTTAGAGCTAACAAAAATCGCGTTGTTTACTCTACGATAGGCGCGTTGCGGCAGAACATCTGGCTGGCGGCATGGCGCGTCGTGGCGCGAGTCGCGTAAAATCGTATGCGCCCAGTGCTCATCAACCAACTTATGTGGGGAGGGTTGCGTCGGAAATTATAAGAGTAAGCGATTACAATATATTAAAGGTAAAAGTGTTTATTTATGATGAAAGCATACAAACAACTAAACAACTCATTTGTGATCAATATTAGTTAGTATATTTTTTTTCTATAATACTTGATGTTAAATTTTATCAACAGATGTGTACAATTAGTCATGTTATATAAATAAGTCTTATGTAATACGTATAAATTTCTAATGGAAATCTACAGTAATTTTCGCAATCAAGTTTTTATAGCTGCTAATTAGATAATTCAAGTTACTCTATACATATCTATCTATACTATAATAAAACAGTATAGGTCGAATGTCTGTACATAGCAAAAAAATGCTAAAAACCGAGTCAGGGGGATGTAAGAAGACAAGTAGAACCAATCCAGATTTTTTTCAAATTTTTTGTTTCTCTGTTTGTCTGTTTGTACGGGCTAATCTCCGAATTTATTGGACCGATTTAAATGATATTTTGCATGGTGGTACCTTATATCTCCGGGCAACATCTTATATACTTTTTATCTCGGAAAATTAAATAGTTCCCGTGGGATAGTTAAAAAAACTATAATAACTTATACAACTTAAGGACCTAATTTAGTAAAATTTAACATTCTGATACCTTATATTGTCGGTCAAACAACAGATCACTTTTCATCCGGGAAAAATGGACGGTTCCCGTGGGAGCTAATAGATTTCTATTAGTGTTTTTCTAGAGGCGAACCCGAGCGAAGCGAGGGCGAGCCGCTAGTGTATAATAAAATTATAACTGAGTCGAATCTGTACATTCAATATTTTTTGGAAAATCTTATTGAAATAGTCATTGTTATCGATACAGAGGCCGAATCTATAATTTTTAGATTTTTTTGTCTGTCTGTCTGAAACCGCATCACGAGAAAACCACTGGACACCGACACTGGACCGATTTTGATAAAATTTGCTACGATGATAGCTAGTTATCCGGGTCAACATATGGGATACTTTTTACTGCAGGAAAATATGTCATCTCTGAGAAATCTATACTAAACGTTAAAACGAACCCGAGCGGAGCGAGGGTGAGTCATTAGTAGCATATAAAAATGAATGACTATTGAATTCTTATGACTTGCACCATGCGATAAGCGTGAGCTGTATGCCCTCTTCTACAATTTCTGCTAAGAAGTGACGCTGCACTGTACACTGTTACATGCCACATTTAAACTATAATGTATAAATATACTAGAATAATATTTTTAAATGCATTATTTTTTCAAATAATCTTTTGTGGCAATTGATATCTATTATATCAATACTAATATTATAAATGTGAAAGTGTGTTTGTTTGTTTGTCTTTCTTTCAAGTCGAAACGGAGTGACCGATTGGCGTGATTTTTTGTGTGCAGATAGTTGGAGGGCTGGAGAGTGAGATGGGCTACTTTTTACCGCGGGAGTTTACCTTATTCCCACGGGAAAACACTTTATAATACAATCCAAAAAAATGGTTTGATCGGAATTACTAATAACTTGGTATTAATGCTCTTCAATACAATTAAATAGATACGTGTTTTAGCATTTTTCGAAATTCATCCCATAAGGGGTTAAAATAGGGGATGAAAGATTGTATGAAACCTGTTTTTTTTAGTTCTTATTGTAGTTTTAGCGCGAGCAAAGCCGCGGGTTCTGCTAGTCTATTATATATTGTTATAAATGCAATATGACCTCTGCAACTCATTAAGAGTTGATTAAACAAACAACATATTCATTTACAAACAAAAGAAGTATTCGGTACACATTATATATTTAATATAATATAGTGGATATATTAATTTTTTTGCTGTATACCACAACTTATTTGAACATAAGTATAGTACCTATATATTAAAGCATTAAATCTTTAGAAGATGTTAAAAATCTTATTATAGTGATAATTAATTAGCTCATTATTTGAAGTTTTTATTCAAAACATTATTACTCTAGTTTAATAATAAATTAGGTTAAGAAGATGCTCGACAGGAGATCTAAATGTTAATATTCTTACATAGGATAAAAATCTGCATTTCCAATTTCACACAAATCCATGAGGTAGTAAACACACATACATACACACAGTCAGTGTGACTTTCGCATTTATAATATTAGTATAACTACAACTATAATACATAAATATATAATGACCACCTTTAAGTTTTCTATAAGTATTTAGTAATAACAATATTCCAAATCTTTTCTGGAACCTTCTATTTATGTTAAGTACATAGATATCTATCACAGAATATACATTTGTTCGTATTGAAATAGTATAAGCGCTGAAGTGCTATGGAGTTGTTAAAAATAATGATGTTTGATTTTTTACTATGAGTATAATATTGAATTATCAATTAAGATATGTTAAACAAAATTTCTGTGAATTAAATTTAATTAAAAATTTTGAAGAATGGTTGAAAAACTTGATGGAAAAATGGAATTCAACATATAAAAAAAAGACTTAATTTATTACTTCACTGTAAGATAATTCTATGAAACAAACTTTGAGTCTAAGTCATATTGTTATAACTATACATTATATAATAAACAAGAAGTATTTTGATTTAAGATAAAAGTTCTTAAACATCACTTACTGTGTAAAAATACATATGTATATATAAAAAATAAAGTCATACTGTAATGTTCCAAAACATAGAGGTTATAGAAGTTAATCAAGTTTCCGAATATATAATCCTTTAAAAGTCAACGGAAAGCTCATAATTAGCTTCTTTATCAATTTGATAAATATCTTAGCAATTTTATAGTTTATTTGTCAACACACAAACAGAATCTTAGAACAATAGTCAAAATGAGATTTAAATGAATAGTAGATTGTTTATATGTTATATTAAAATAGTTACTAAAAAGAGATAAGAAAAGAAAGAAAAGAAATACTCTAAGCTTGCCTTTTAATTCATAGGTATTTTATCTTGAAACCAGAAATTAAACAAAAAAAAAATAGTATGCAGTAAAGCTAAAATTAAAATATCAGCACAAATTGTTCAAAATGATATATTGCAAAGGTCATTAGGTATATTAAAAGGTTCACTTAATATTTAAAGGCTTTGTTTCTAGGTTATTACTATCACTATGCAAACAAAATTATAATAGTTGCTAGAGACTCACCAGCTACTTCAAGGAGGGTTTCTAACCGAGCCTGCATCTCTGGGTCGACAGCTCTCTCTGGATCGTCATGGGAAAGTAGGAACTTGGACGACTCTGTACCACCACCTTCTTCTTCCATCTCCGCCTGGACCAAAAATTTCTATTTATCACAAGATAAAAATACAGCTGTTAAAAATATAATTATGTTGCATATATATTTAGGCAGTTCAGTTAGTAACAAATTCACAAAAAAATTATCAAACACAAGCTTCATTTGTTATTAATATATTATCAACAAACATGAATTATGCAAATGTTTTCTCTGTGCTGGTTTCACATGACTAATAACATTCTTTGTTTGATATGTTAGGGAATAGTTCATTGTCACAAGATGATTTAGAGGTTAGCCCTAATGTAAACTTTAAGCTTGGGCGCTGTCAACAGCTGACTCAAGTTGTTTAGTAGAGTAATAAAAATAGGTTACATCATTAAAGTTTTACAAGCACTACAAAAATTGCATAAATTAATATAAACACATATAATTGTTAGAATCACAAGGACCATTCAATATTAAAGACAAAACAATATATGTAACGGAACTTGTCCATCGCACACACATTATGCAGGTTAAAATTAAGAACCACTCAAACTGCAACAGCTATTGGTGTTGGTGAAGCTTTCTTTCTGCACCCAGTGTGATCTTCCACTTACCAACAGGTCTGGCCTGCTAAGGCACAAACAAGCCAGCAAGATCTATAACACCAATGAGAAAAATATGAGATATACTGACAATGTGGTGCTTGCGGACGAGCTTACAAATAATTATTGCAGAAAATGGTCCTTGTAATTCACTAGTAACCAACATTTTTGCGCGAATTATAGCGGGCACTGTGATAGACTCGTGTACTCGTGACGACACAAAACACAACATCGTTTATAATATTTGTTACTATTTCACACAATAATTATATAATTCACTCAATCATATTGAAATAACGTCATGAAAACAATATTCAGCACTTTGCATCGACTATTATGCATGTGATTTAGGAAACATGGCCACCGTAGATCGAGCCCTATCCAAAACACAAATAGACAATGAAAAATGTCTTACGGCGATTTAGCCCGTATCGTAGAATTACAAAGAATCAATTGAATATCGTCTAGGAGCGACTGGCATAAATAATTTCATGCATTACTCAGTAGGACGTATGTACCTATGACTTTCTGACGTTTTACGGAATATTTGGCAAGCAACTTGTACCGTAACTCGAATGTAAAAAAAAATCTTTACTATGCGCTTTGAACGTTAAAAGGCGTAAATGATAGATTGAAAAGTAATTTTGATACAAAAAGAAATTGTATGATCAGTCATGTACAAGATGTCCCTTGCAGCATTTAGCGGTACAGATAATCACAATCCCTCACTACTGCCACCGCCTCTGCCGAAAACAAAACACGTTTTACCTCAGATACAGAGTCATCCTCGCTTTCCGAAGAGTCTGTCATGTATTTGGCAGGTGCTCCTGAATACGTTTCGGTTTCAGATTTGGCCGGACTCGAAGCCGAACTCTGAGGAGTGGACGATTTTACCACATCAAGTTGCACATTCACCTTATCGATATTTCGGTTTTCAGACTGTCCAACATTCTGCATTTTTGTCCTAATCCAATATAACTTAATTAGTCTTTTAGTATGAACACTCGTTCTACGAAATTAACACGTTCTTATATTAGCAAACAAAATTTATTTCGTCATTTAGCCAGGCTGATACCCGCCATGTCTACTACTATGGCGAGGTTCCCGGATGCTTCAAGTAGGCTAACCAATTATCTCCCTCTGGCGATTCAATTCAGAACTTTTTTGTGCTGCCATCTGCTCTAAAAAATGTACAACATATGTAAAAGACAAAACATATTTTTTAATCGGCTTAGGGCATTATAATTTGGTCTATTAATGATATGTATACACTATTCACTTTTTCAAGCATACATTTTTAAAATTACACATATTAAGAAAAAGCACCAAAAAAATGAAAGTTTTATTAATGTTAGCCATTTAATATAAATATCTTGCAATTTTAGTGTTATTATATTGTAATAATTATGCCCATTTTCCAATAGCGTGTAATAAGTAAGGTATTTAGTTTATGAAAATATTATGTTCGTTTAAAAGTATCTTAATTTTTATTCCTAGTTTTTTCCGACTACGCTCATTATATAAATAACCAGATGTCGATGACATAATATGAAATATGTAGGTAACTCGGGGTTGCCTACTTAAATTATAAATAAGAAATCCAAAGAAAAGATTTTGTGCTATTAATCAAAACCAAAAGTCAAAACTATAGTTTTCATGAGTATTCAATCATAGCCTCTAATTCGTTTAGTTACAACCTTAAATGGCATATTGGAATCTTATGCCATATATAGCCTTCTCTTTCTTTCGCCGATTGTAAAGAAATGAGGTGGGGAAAAGTGGAAAATGGTCGGAAAATATTTGTATTTCAAAGACTCAGTTGATAATTGTCGTGTTTTTCTCAGTACAATGTTAATTTACAATGTTTTAATAAATGATTATTTCGATTAAATACGAAATGTGGACGAGATATAGAAGTGGTAAAGTTTATACGTATCGAAATGGTTATGCTGTAAATTGAATTTAGTGTATCCACGTACTGTTGGAGTAAAGCCTGGTTTTTAAAAATGTTTACCTAGGCAGCTGTTGAGAAATATGGCTAGGGATGGGGACGTGCCTACTATTTTTAATCCAAAGAGAGTACGCACGCCTTCTGTTATTATAACTACTGAAGAAGCCGTGGAGAGCGAGCAGGGTGGCGACATCGAGCGCGAACGGCCAAACGGTCCACCGACACCGCTCAGCCCACGAGCACCACTAACCCCCCAGACTTCTGTATCCTCAGCACCTCCGCTGACGACACAGCCCTCTCTTCAGCAAGCTTATAGTGAGTCAGCAGCAAGTAGTCAGGATGAAGAACGTCAGCTACGTGATAAAAAATGCCCCAGGTCTTGCTGTTCAAAAGTGGCAAAAAAGGTTACTTTACTGTTTATATTTCTATATAAAATTATATGGCATTAAGATTAAGATAACATTAATTAGCATTCTTAAAGTAATGTGTGCATTAGTATGGCATCTCCTGCACTCTTTTGATAATGTATTATTTACAGATGTACTATGGCCTCTGTGTCACAACCACTATAGTTGCATCCTGGGTGACTGTGACACACTGTATAAAATACATGTACCTCCAGGAGTACCCACACACAGACAGCTCAATGAGCAGCACTGAATCTCCTATAAATAATAACTATACTTCTAGAATTCGCACACATGTGAGTATGCAGAAGTTTTATTTTAATTTTATCTATTTTTATAGAATTAAATAAATTAATGTGTATAAAGTATTTGGTTTAATATCTCAATAAGTTATTCTATAATGGAGTACCAAGATAAGATCAAACTCACAACAAATACATCAGTAAGTTATTCTAAGCAACATGGTGTGTATGCCAAAATTTTATATTAAAAAAATATTTTTTAATTACTAGTTTATATTATATAAATGTAATTCATTATCCATAATTATAAAGAATTTGATTAATATAATACACTATTTTAATAAGGAATAATATTTTTTCTAGCACTATTACAATGCACCATTCTTCACAGCATGGTTCTGTACAAACTGGCTCATTTTTGTTTACCCTCTCTACCTAATTATTATGCTCATTCACAACAAGTGCAAGTTAGCGAATGCCATTGTGGCCGATGCTTTTACAGACTTCAAGGAAAAGGGATTCACATTTGGTATGTAATGTGTTTTATTGTACATCTATACTAATATTATAAATGTGAAATTTCGTGAGAATGGATGGATAGATGTTTGTTACTCTTTCACTTCAGAACGGCTGAATGGATCTGGGTGAAATTTGGCACAGAGATAGATTATAGTCTGCAATAGCAGTTTGGAATAGTAAGAATATTATTGTTATTAATGTTATTAGACCTTAAATATTATTATTAATTTCAAATTAAAAGAATATTTTTCTATAAGATTATTCTATGGTCCTTTTCCCACTACTCAGTAAAGGTATCAGAATTAGAAGAAGAAGAGGTTTGAAGAAAGCAAAAATATATGAAAATGTATAGTTCTATATAGCTTAATGGTTCCCATACATTTTGCTTGTTTGCTGTTAAGTTGATGCTGTGGCAGATGTTGTGCTCACCATTTTTATGTTAATATTATTAATTACCAAAAAGTCAAATATAAATTTTTTAACAGTAAATAATTTATTTATTAATGCAATGCAGTAAAAAGTACCTATGTGTTGACCTGGAAAACCAGCTATCATCATACCAAATTTCATCAAAATCTGTCCAGTGGTTTTCTCGTGATGCGGTCACAGACAGATAGACAGACAAAAATTCCAAAACTATAAATTCGGCCTCTGTATCGATTACAATGAATATTTCAATAAGATTTTCCAAAAAATATTTAATGTACAGATTTGACTTGGTTAGAATCATTACATAGTATAAAACAAAGCTTCCCGCAGTCTGTCTGTCCCTATGTATGTTTAGATCTTTAAAACTACGTAACGGATTTTGATACGGTTTTTTTAATAGATAGAGTGATTGAAGAGGAAGGTTTATATGTATAATACATGCATATTATAGTACAGAGAAGCCGAGAAATGCAAAGATTTGTATTTCATATTAACCGTTAAAACGAGTTAGTAATGAGTTACTAGTTTTCTTATATGTATAGATAATTAATTTTCTTTTTCAATTAACCAAGAAATCATTTCTCAGCCCGATTTCTAAGTCGCTGTGGCCTATTCTGCTTGCTGTGGGTCGTGACGATATACATGTATACGTACGCTCTAAAGATACTCCTGTCCACGGACGTGGTTACGCTGTTCGCTACAAATGTTTCATGTGTCTATCTTCTATCTTGGGTCATTTTGCATGAACAGTTTGTTGGAGTTAGGGTGAGTGTAAATAGATTTATCTGTTATATAATTAATCCTTACTAATATTATAAATGTGAATGTGAGTTTGTCGATTTGTTTGTCAGCTTGCTTTAGCGCTCTAATTAATATGACGCGACTGGGTGCATTTATTTCTTCTTCAAACTTACGGTTTAATGAATTTAAGTTAAATTTAGAATGGATAGATAAATAGCTTATATCGTAAATATATCGATAAATCGAGTATGTTTTGTTAAAATACCAAGGTGACATCGTGGACAATAACTAGTATTGAGATTTGTATATATTTACTTTTATATTCTAGTTATAAAATATTTCCATATACTGGTGGTCAGTGGTGGAGTAGAGGTTTCAGGATATGAGCATGTTTCAATATGTTTTATGTAAGAAAGGAGGAGTCATAGACATTACTATCTGATGCTAAACATGCCCAAATTTGATGGCTTACGCATTGGTGTCATAGATGTATATAAAGTAAAAATCCTAAAATATATAGTGTAGTAGTCCTTAAAACAGCCGTTAGGGAGCTCCAAAGACCGCAAAAATATTTTCATATAAAAGATGCTTCCCAAACAGATAGTAGCAGCGATCCTCTGCGACACGGGCATAGCGCTGCTCGCGTACATGGACGGCATCACCGGCAGCTCCACGCTGGGCGGCGTGGTGCTGGCCGCCTGCGCCGCTGCGGGCTTCGCTATATTTAAGGTTGGTTTTGTAATTTTCGTATGTATATTTGTATTCAGTCCTTTTAAACGTCCCACTGCTGAACACGGGCCTCTCATTCAATACGAGTGGAATAAGGCCATATTCTCCGATATTTTCATGTCCTAATCATTCCCAATATGATTACCATTTCTCTTACGGTCAAGAAAAACATCGTGAGGAAACCTGCATGTCTGATAGAACTAGCAAGTTTTCAAAAGAGATGTGAAGTCCGCCAACCCGCACTAGACCAGCGTGGTGCATTATGGCCTGATCCCATCGTAGTAAAGGGTGGCCCTTGCCCTGCAGTGGGACGTTACAAGAGAGCTGAATACCAAATACCATGGTAAATATGTAAGCCTTTGTCGCGATTGGTATCAAATGAAAGTCTTCATTTGGTATTGTTTAGAAACATTATTTTATTGTAATTACAAAGTAATGTTTGTGCATTAAGGATTGTTCCTTAACGTACATCTTAGCGTCGACTTGGAGAAGTGGAGGCCTCTCTTAATAGGGGAAACGGAACCCATTCTTATACAGATTATAACAATGAAAAATAAAAGTGACGTCCGGAAATTTATGATACATATAGTCAGGTGGGAGGGGAGTTAAAAAAGTTGCCAAAAAACATCACGTGATTAATGGATGACCCTAAAGTAACATAATTATTCAATTATATTGAGTTTTTAAATATTTTGTAGTAATATTATAGTTTGTGGGTATGGTATATAAATTAATATTATTTTTCGTGTATCATGCAACACCTTTTGCCCTTCAATGGGTTTAATTGGGCTCGTTAGTAAAACTTAATCAGTGAACTTTATTTTTTAAATCAAATCGGCAATATTTCATGTTTTAACAACACGCAATCCTCTAATATGGACGAGTGCGTGAGTAATATGCTTTCGAAGATGTTGTATAAGTAAAAATAATAGTATAGGTAGCAAATAATAATATTTTCAAAAAATCGTAATATTTGCAAAATTAGATTAGCTCGTGTAAAGATTTTAGTTTATTGCTACAGCATTAAGCTATTTTAAATAAGTTATAAGTTAATATAGCTTGAGAATAAAGTTTTTACTTATATTTGTAAATACATACTAATTGGCATGATTCGGGACCAATTTTTTAATATATTTTTTTTATAAGAGGGCCATTTTCAAATTGCTTATTTCTATGGTTTTCCTTATTTTATACAGTCATCGCTGATTAAAATAATTTAAAAAAATTTATTCTGTAAAACTTTTTGGATGTTCATTTTATTTTTTCAAATTATTCAATTAGCCTTACACGACCAAGTAAATTATAAGTATTTGTGTTAGTTAAACGTAAAATTCAAAATTTGTCATTTGTCAAAAGCTAATCGCGTGCTATATTGTATTTAGGGCGCGATACTATCACGCCGGACTATTAAAACAGCAATCAAGGCTCGATAACGTCGCACACAAATTATACACCTATGAAGTTTCCTTTTCACCTTTTGTTGTCACAAAACAATGCAATTGGTATATGAAAAAGTCATTAATTGAATCTTTTTTTTGCTTAATAAAATAGACTTGATTGTCCATTTGAAAGATTTATTGACTTCAATCAGCTATCAATCATGGTTCCATTTAATAAGTACTCGCTCTCTTCACGGCAAGGATTTGTATGTTACAGTAACTTATCTTTTGAAGTGAAACTTCTTTAGAATCGTTGTGATTTGAAGCTCGATGAAACGGAAATGCTACACTAAAAAGAGATAAATAGGCGAGAGAATGAGATGGAATATATTGCCAGGTTGCCATGGTAACCGTTTTTATTGTCATTACACAGAAAGTGAAAAGTAATAAAATTAATACTGAATAAATAATATGTTAAGTAGTACATTTATCTTAAATAAAATCTATACAGATAAATAAAATTGAAGTGTCTGTTTGTAATGTCAAAATAACAGCGTTTTACTAAATGTATATGAAATTATATACGGTATGTATTTATAAAAAAAACACGTTTTTTTTAATTTTTATCTGTCTGTCTGTTTGTTCTCTGAAACGGCTGGACTGATTTTTAAAGGGACATTTACTGGAAGAAGATAGCTGATGTTATAGCGAGTAACATAGGCTACTTTTATTTTAGAAAAAGAGTTAGGGTTCCGCTCAAAAAATACAAAGTACCTAAAGACGAACCCGAGCGAAGCGAGAGTCAGTCGCCAGTTAATATTGTTATTAAGTAAAATAATTTCCCTCTCAGGTGCTATTCAGGAAAGTGATGGGCGAAGTGAACACGGGGCAGCGAGCGCTGTTCTTCTCCATCCTGGGCATAGTGAACGCCACGCTGCTGTGGCCGGTGTGCCTCGCGCTCTACCTCACCGGCACCGAGCAGCTGCCCGCGCACACGATGCCCTGGATATCGCTGCTAGTGGCGAGTGTCGCTTTGCTCAGTGAGTGTTGGGTTTATTTTATTTAATTATAGGCACAGATACAACAATATAACATTAGTACAGATTACAGATATACACACACACGCACACGCGCACACACAAACGCACACACATACACAACTTCACGCTTTATCCCTTGTGGGGTTGACAGAGAGAACAGATACTCTGTATAAAGAAATTGGCGCAACTTTAATCTCGGGTTTTTGTTGTCTGAATTAGGTGGCGTGGAAACTCCATGGGTGATTAGGAAACTCGTCTCATGCGTGCATGTGGAACTATTTTCTGTTATAAATGTGTTATATTTAAAATATAACAAAACTCATTTTTCATTTGATATTTTTGTTTGTGTAAGAAACATCTCCTAAAATTAAAATATATAATATATAATTTTACACAAAAATAAAAAATAAATCTGTTCATATAAGGCCATTTATAGATATTTACTTAATCTATGATAAAACTTAATTTAAAATACGATCAATTTGATGCTATATATGAATAATATTACTATCAGGATTTTTTATTTAGTATTTTCATTTTACATATACATAAATATTATTGGAAAGAACTTTCCCAACAGAAGGTCAAATTTTTAAAATACCATTTCGCGTGTGCCATTTAAATTTTTTTTATAATTTCCTGGTAATTGTGCCTAATGCTATTGCTTTATATGAGGCTATGATGAGGCAAAATAATGAGCCAGTTTTAAATTTGGCTGTGGTTAGTTAGATTTTTTTTTATTAAGTAAGCGTTTTTTTTATAAGATATTATATTTTTTTAAATAATTTAATTATTAAATTTATTGGCAAATAAAATCGTGAATACAACAAACATTGATGTAGTGTTTAAGTTACGACATTAGAGAAAAAAAATAATATCTTAATAGGAATCTGATATCGCATGTAACAAATATTCGTTTTTATTTATTATAACACGAACTGTTTTTAAACTGAAACGCTAAATAATACGTTGAGCTTCGAATAAGGTAAGTAATTTAATATGCGTTTTATTGGTAGGTAAAACGCTGCTATTTGAGATGCGGCTGTTACAGATTTGTTCTAATTTCTTATAAGTTGTTTTTAACGTAAGGTAATACATTTATGCATACAGTGGTTATGTACAGACTAGAGACACCGGTTATTATATAACCCCTTGTTATTATATACGACCCCTTGACGGTTGCCGAAGCAGGTCTCTTCCCGTCCTCCCAGGGCCAGGACCAACCCATCACCTTCCAGTGACTCTCAGCTTAACGCCCGGCTGGATTGCCGGATGCTACTGCCCGCCATCCTCTCCCCCACCATAACAAGGCTAACTCATTCTCTCACACATGGAGCTCACTACCAAACTGCCCCAATTTATCTGATTAGGGGATTTTGACGTTAATTTGCGTTTTTTCAAATAGTGACTCACCCTTGCTTCGGTCGGGTTCGTCCCTAGGTCGCTTCTCCATACAAATTTTCATCTAAATCGGTTCAGTAGTTTCGAAGCTTATTCGGTACAAACAAACAAAAAAATCTTTACTCTTTATAATATTGCTAAAGCATATAGATTAATTAATATGTATAGATACTTAAAACTAATTAACTACCCAAAATATAAACGTGATATTATTATTTTTATTATATATGACAACATGTCAAGGTTTCCGCGCATGCAAGATAAATGGGCCCATTCGTTCTGAATGCAAGGCGTTGTGCATCCGCGATGTAGGTCGAGATGAGACTCCAAACAACTACGTTAAGTGCACTCAGTTTAGACTTATAGTGGGATATGCGATTGTCTCAATTACAAAACGGATAAAAAGCTTTTTATTTTTGCTTAGTTGTTTTAAATGCAATGATTTTTCTCCTTTAGAGCCTCCAGTAAGTACGGAGCAATTATCAAAGAGTGTGGTCTTTTGCAGTCTCATCTTTCATTTTCTCTATGATCAGACTTTTTACAAACTATTTTTTTCTAGAAAAGCAACTGTCTTTAAAATAGAAATAGTACGTAAAGATATCTATAAAATGTAGAGAATTATTATTACAAAGAGGAAATTACAATTAAACTAAAATAAATATATACAATACTAGCGACTCACCCTCGCTTCGCCCGGGTTCGTCAGTAGGTTGCTTCTCCATAAAAACTTTCATTCCCATTTTCATCCCTTTAAAGGATGATTTCCGATGATAAAAACTATTCAATGTCTTTCACAGGATCTCAAACTATCTTCTTGCCAAACATCTTAATCGGTTCAGTAGTTTTGGTACCTATTCGGTACAAACAAACAAAAAATCAAATGTTTCCTCTTTATAATATTACAGTATAGAAATGAGAGCACTAGAGCGAAAGTACTCTAAACGCAACATCGATCATTTGATCTATATGGTTCAACTTATTTAGACTTATTAAGCTCTTCATGTATTTGCAATAAAGCTTTTCGATTAAAGCATTTGTTAAGGTTAAATTTAAATTGTAAAGCCAATTATGAGGTCCATCGAAGACGCAGTCTTTGAATTTAGATTACTTAAAATTCCTTAATTATACAATTCACATGCAAAGTGGCGAAGTGGACATTAAATAATATTATTTTATTATACAGAAAATATAAACAAATTATCCCACGGTAACCGTACATTTTTTCAAGATAAAAAGAAGCCTATGTGCTATTCCAGATTATAATCTATCTCTGTGCCAATTTTCATCCAGATCCGTTCAGCCGTTCTGACGTGATTGAGTAACAAACATCCAAACTTACACATTTATAATATTAGTAAGATTTGTAAAATAGTATTATGTACTTTAATGTAAAATATTTTTGTTACAGTGTTTCATTTGGTATTTCAATTCGGCAATCTGATGACGTACAACATTTTCGTATCTCTCGGACTTATAATGGCTGTTCCTGTTTCTGCTGGTAAGTTTTGCAGTAGGTATTATACTAATTAATAATCTTTCACTTTTATTTCATTTGAATTTATTGTTTATTAACAAAAGATGGTATCAACATGTAATTTTCGTTTAAATGCGCAGTAGCACATCTATAACTGCGCGCCATTTTCAAGGTTACAATAAATAATAAAATAACGTTATCTATATATATAGTTTTTAGTGGCGATATGCAATCTCATTAATTGTTAATTAAATACATATGTACTTATAAATATGGTGTATAGAAATTTCTAAATGTTTGTATAATAAATATCCCCTTGCTTTGTTTTATTTCCTTCGACATTCGAAAATTATTGTTTCTCACATTAACTTTACCTACCATACATATTTCAACCGTTTCGAGGTTGAATTTCAAAGTATTCTGAGCTTTTTATATTTTTGTCTGTTGAGCCCAACAGTTTGGTCTAAGTTATGATATGTAAATTAGAAAATTCAACTTAATATAACTCCTAGGCTTTGCCCGCGGCTCCTTTTGTGTTTTTTTTATTAATTAGTGTATTTATAATTATTATATAAAAGATTTATAAACTTTCTCAATAAATAAGCTTATAAAATTCAAAAAGAATTCTACAAATCGAACTGGCAGTTTCAAAGATCAATCAGACAAACTCGACAGCTTTGTATGTTAATAGATTTATATGTTAGTACATAATAATTTTGTAATGAATATGAATGATATAAGCATCAAACAAAAAAAAAACATTTTTTTAATCTGCGTGTTGTCTAATTAGCGTAAACAGCTGAAGTCCAAAAAAAAGGTGATCCTAATTAAAAGCATTTACTAGCAGATATAGTATATGAAAGTTATGTTGTTGTACATAATATTTTATAGTTAACGAATAATAATCATGGGTACCTATTTTATATTAGACAGTGGTAGCCCAGTGGTAACGTGCTTCCGTGGGAAACTAAGTAAAGCCGGGTCAAATCCCGGGTATTGCACCTCTGATATTGTCACGTGCGAATCATTTTCAACATAATTACCATTTGTTTTACGGTGAAGGAAACCTGCATGTCTGAGAGAACTTAGCAAGTTTTCGAAAGACATGCTCAGTCCGCCAACCCGCACTTGGCCAGCGTGGTGGACTATGGCCTGATCCCCCTCGTATTGAAGGGAGGCCCGTGCCCAGCAGTGGGACGTTAAAAATACATACATTTTTATCTTTCATATTACAATTGTTCTACGGCGTCTTTTTTAATAATATCAATTGTTTATTATTTCGTAGCATTGGATGTGGTTTTATACGGAGTGGAGTTCGAGGGCATGAAGTTGGCCGGCATCATACTAATAGCAGTCGGATTCTTTCTAGTCATGTTCCCGGACAACTGGCCGGACTATATTATGAGACTTTTAAGGTCAGTTTCTTATTATAATAGGGAATATGCGTGTGAATATGAAGGTGAAATATTTTTTTATAGCTTTTGAATTAAGCTTAATATTAATATATTTTAATGTATTTAATTTTTTGTGATTTAGAAAATAATTATTTAAAAGTGCAGATATAGGTGGGAAATTCAAAGTAGTTGAAACACACGCCATTGGTCAGACCGAATATGACGTCAGAGTATATCATAACAGAGCGATTAGCGATTTTGTCGGTACATATTACGTCGTCATTTTTCTGTGTATGATGTATATACATACTGTGACGTCACGCCAAGCGCGTAAAATGGCGGGCGCTTAAAGTATCCGTATCGGTATGATATTTTAATAATTTTTTTTTCCTATTACATTTTACTTTTTTTGAGTTGGACATTTTTTTTACAATTATATAACGATGTAAACTATTGTATAAAACATTAAAAAAAACACGCATATTCCCTATTAAAGCTAAGTTATAATATTGACTCTTAATATGTTTTTCGTAAAATGCCCTGAAAGTTTAAATCGAGTGTAAGTAATATGAGAATCGAGGGAGACATATGAATATTTTTTAAAACCCAATCTAATATTTAATTGAAAATAAATCGAGTTTTAAGGGCTAAAATAATGCGGTTTTAGAGTTGTTGGGTAACTTATGGCCCTCGCTTCGCTTGGGTCTCTATTAGTAATGTAACGAATATTCGCATGTTTTTTGACAAGTATTAGCAAGAAACGCTGCGAATGCTTGGCGAATGTATTTGACAAACAAAAAGGAAATTATACAGGGTCATTTTTAATTTACTGAAAACCTTTTGGGAATATACTATTTACATCATAACAACAACACCTGTGACAAGAAAAAATATATTTCTTAAATTTTTATTTTCATACAAAAATATTTTTTTTTGCATCTTCTAAACTTTAAAGTTCTAGCATCTGGCTAAGTTTAAATGAGTAAGCGTGGCTTCCTACATCCCTCCCCCTCCACCGGACACGCACTTTCTTTTGCTAATGCTGGACTATTACCGTTGAGAAGGTGCATTAAAAATACTTTTATTTTTGTTAAATTTAAGATATATTATTTTTTTTCTTACAGATGTTGTTGTTATGTTGTAAATAGTGTATTCCCAAAAGGTTTTCAGTAAATTAAAAATGACCCTGTATAAGGAATGAACGGACGAATGAAAATATAACTGTGCTTTACTCATGTTTTTATATCACTTTGTCAATTTCAAGGTATTACTTAAATTTGACAATTAATGCAATAATACTAAACTAACTGCACATCACAACAAATACCTACAGACTTTTGCGTGTATAACATTAGTAGAAAGGTAGTCCGATGGTGTCAACTATCCAATAAGGTAATCTTACACTTCTACAATAATATTGTAAAGAGGAAAGATTTGTATTTTTGTATGTTTGCAACGAGTAAACTCAAATTACTGGATCGATTTAAATGAAATTTGGTAAGAAGATAGTTTGAGACCCTAGGAATTTCCGTAGGATTTTTTTATCCCGTAAATAATCCCTTAAGAGGGTGGAAATGGGAATGAAAGTTTGTATGGGGAATCGACCTAGGGAATAACTCGAGCGAAGTGAGGGTGAGTTGCTAGTCTATACTAATATTATAAAGAGGTAAAGTTTGTGAGCTTGTGACGGTGTAGGGGGTAATCTCTGGATCTATATGGGAATTAACCTAGTTAGGTAATATTTGAATATTATCTTAGATTTACGCGAATATTTGACATTTTAAATAAAACTATCTTTTCGGATGATTTCGCGGATTTATTTAGATCTTTGGCTCCCGACGTTTCGAATGCTTTACAGCAATCATGGTCACGGTAGAGACGGGTCTCTCCCGAAAAGATAGTTTTATTTAATAGGTAATATTTTGTTTAAAACCGGTCGGTCAGATGGAGTCGCCGCCGGCAGCGCGGCAGCGACGGCGGCGGCCGCAGCCGCGACGCGGTGGACTACCGCACCGGGTACATACGCTCGCACCTGCGCTCGCCCTCGGGCCGCGTGCGGTGACCGCGAGGCGCCTGCTCGCACTGGATCGCAAACGACATTGCATCTTCTCTTTCATTTCATTGTATCTGGTTTTGATTTTGATGGTTCTCCTATACGGCCCGACTCGATTTACTCATTTGATCATTGTTTTTCACATGATATATGTTATCTGTGGTTTTGAATTTGTTGGGAGTTTTTGGTACGGGTTGGTCGAACGTCTCGGTAGTTTTTAGGGTCGTCCATAAAATATGTTACATAATAATTGTTTTTGTTTTAAAAATAAATGATTACTTTGTGATCGATTTCATAAAGGAGGTATTCCATACAGACAAACAGACAAAAATTGCCTTTACAACACATTAACAGTTTTGGTTTAAAAAAATATTGCATGTACAGATTTATATTATATTTAAATTAATGCAAGGTTTTCTATATAGAATTCGCAAAATCAAACCAATAATAATAATTTTAGAAGAAGATTCTAAGAAATTTTTCATAAAAATGGTCAGTCTAATAGCCATGAAAACTTATAGCCTACTATCCACCTGTTATGTGTGTATTTTATGGAAGAGCCCATCTAAAAGCAAACGAGACGCTTTGCCTTCACTATACTCATTGATATTTACATATATCTTCACAAGTTTTTCATAAATCATCTTAATTGGAGGTCTCACTGCGACTTCTAGCGTTGGAGGCGCCACTTGCATATAAAGTATAATATACATATTATATGAAATTGACATGATCAATCAATGTTATTTGTCAATAAATGTTACTAACTATGATGGTTAGTATCAGACAGAAGGGTTTTTCGGTCGAGTTTTATTATTATATCTAAACCGGTCATAGTTTGTCAAATTTTAAATCACTTTGGCATGTTTAGAGTTTATTCAAAAATCTTGTAAAAAAAACCTTTCAATGTTTTCCGGCTTTCCCAATTTTTCGGGTATCCCTTCCAAATCTCCCCTAAAACCCAATAGATTATTCGTTATAACTAACATAAAAAATCCTATTTACGCTACCGAATCTCAAGTAATGCACTCGACAATAAACAGTATTTGATCTTATACACTATATGAATGTGGCGCCATCTAAACTGCATTTCACATGAAACCTCCCATAAAAATATAATATTATTTACAATTGCATTCGCCAAAAATCGTAAAATCTCAAATGCAAAAACATTCCATCGACATTCATTCAATCATTTAGCAGCCATTACTATTTTTAACCAAATGTAGACACAAATAAGTTATGTTTATTATAACTAAATTTAATGAAGGGATTAAGTGTAGATTCTACGAACTTTGGTCCCGAATCGCGACCCACAGTAGAGCTCAATGTACAGTTGCAACTAACGTGTATATAGTCCCAGATTCATTTATTTATCATGCTAAGTTTTAAGAAACGTTTAAATCGGTTTTAAACGGTTTTAAAATTCTAATTTATAAAACCTACGCCATAATGAGTTTTTTTTGAATATTGGGAAATATCGATTTTTTTAATTTAATCGATAGAAGCTTATCCAATGAAATTTAGATTTTTGTTTTTTTATCCTCTTATTGGTACTCTAAGAGTGTACTCAAATTTTTCAGAAGTTTAAAACGGGAGCTATAATATGAATATATTAATATGAAGAAAGCGGGCGGGTTGTTGTGAAAGTTTTAATGCTGTGTAGGCTAGAGGTTAGTTCAACGATCTTTGATCCTCAACGCGCTACCATATATATAGAAATCCTTTGAATAAATACGTAAATTATCGTTATTTTATGGAATTACTAAAGCGTATTATATACAAAAATATGCAGTAGGAGGTTAGGTCGTGGATACAATTCCAAGTAAATAAAATGATTTAAAACTATAACTATGGTAGAACTGCTTTTAGTCTTGAAATTGGAGCATATTTAGAGTAAAATATTCTTGCCTATAGAAATCAATATTACATAATTAAATATTTAATAACGAAGTTCGTCACAACTATTATGAGAAAAAAATTATGTATATTATTGTACTATTGATAAATCTGAATCTGTACTTTTTATTTCTACGTCAGCCATTACTTTTTTGATTGTATAAATTAGTTTTATATTTTTTTTGTATAACCAATACAGTGCTATTATTAAAATATTTCCAAGTTTTAAAGCTAGGTATATTTTTGAAGGACTCCAAGGTCCTCTTTGAATATGCCGAATCTTGAAGGATATACTGTCCGAGAAGCTTTCTCAATTTCGATATGTCTTTGGAATTAATTTTTTCCAGTATCGAATACTAAAAATCCCTTATGTCAAAGGTGAAAGGGCCTCTTCCAGCGTCTATGATGCTAATCTTTTACATAAATGGATGTTGTTACCAGTTAACGGCTGCAACACTTTAGTAATGTGCTTTGCTAGTTAATAAGTGGGCGAATTCATTTTTGTATCGGTCGTAAGGCCATGTTACTTTTGGCAGCCCATAAAGTTTAATCGCCTACGCTATCTTGAGTCATACTTTCTCTACAATTCTTTTGCCGTTGCCGATTTAAATATCTAGTAATAATAGAATGTACGTTCCGAATGTCTATTATAAATTCTCGTTCTCAATTGCTACGGTCGTCGAATCGTTAAACTTAATAGTGAGAACTCAAAAAGAAACCTGGCTTCAAAACGTTCTAATAATAATCCTTTCTTGGCCAATTTATAGTATTAACAAAAGTAATGACTGATGTGGAGTTAAAAATATATACTTTAAAAATATAGTGGCAAATCACACGCACCTATGATGGCAGGTGCATTTGCTGATACTAGCGATTCATGCGCCGTTTTACTAAAAATCTAAAATACTAAAAAAATAGATTTACGAACTGAAATAACAAGCAATACAATACGGATATTATTGTATTAAAAATTTGTACATATTGAGGGCAATTTTTGATATCAACGATAATTTTTAGTTAAACTTTTTTGACTGATCAACTTCTATTTAGAATCTCTTTTACTGTATGAAAATTTTGATAAAAGAAAGAATCTCGACATTTTTTATTCTATATCAGTTACTATACGGTTTTAAAGAGTATAATTATTCGTTGGAGCCATTCATAAAATACATTACTAATAAGGAATAGGGGAAGGAGGGGTCTAGTCGTGACATATTATGTATTTTTTTTTTCTGTGCAAGTTATTGTTTATTTTTAACTTTAGTTCTTTTGTTATGAAAATGCTTATAAAGAAGATTTAGGGGTAGAAGGAGTTCAATAAGGGGAAATTTTGCGTGACGTATTTTATGAATGGCCTAGTGGGTAGTGACTCGTGGTTTTAATTTGTATACATAAAATGTGTGATTTATAAATTTTTAATCTTTAACAGGAAATATATAGAATTAGCAAATTAAAAAATTAGAAGATAGTAGCTTTTTAAATTCTTAACATATACAGACAAGATGAACTAACTATAATAGATAGTTTATAGTTCGGTTATTGAATGCTGAAATGTGGGACTTTTTAATATTAAAAACCCAATACTCGGGAAAAGCACAATGATATGTGATGGTTGCTTCGAGCTGGAGATATATTTGTAAGGAAAATAAGTTACTATTGGACAATGTTATTTTTGTTATTTGACCTAAATAACTAATATTTTCCAAACTGTATTCTGGAGACTGTCTATTTCTTCGCCAAATTGTAAAAAAATGGATAGAGCAAACTTGCGTGTTTTGAAATATGTAAATTCTTAAACTTTCCTCTTATCCAGATTTTAATAAACCTAATCTTTTCCTATATATTATAAGTATCGTAATCGATGTTGTGATACCCAGTAGTTAGAGTAGAGTTTGAATATAATATTAATACATATGTATTTTTAAATTATTATTAATACAAAATTTTAAAGATAGCTTCCGATTTAAATATAATCGATCTTTTAAACCGATTAATCGAAAATTATTAATAGTCAGGGTAAAAGGTGTAGATTTAAAAGTTTTTATATAAAAACGAGTTTTATTTTCATTTATTTTTTTCCGACGACCTATACTCGTACATTAACTCGTTACATACAACTAACCGCCCCAAAGTAGTGATACAATAACTTTATATCCTAGTCATATTGATTAGTAGGATAATTATACATAGATATTTCATCACCCAACACTAAGTATTAGAGCGGAGAGCCAAAGATGTGTACCATTTGGATTTTAGATTGATTTTAAAAAAACGATGCTTGTATGTGGTCAATTCGTTATGCATTAAGAGCGTATTTATGTGTAAATCAACCTTTGAGATAATAAAGTCATTGTTTGGTGTTATTCGGCTCGTAATTTTTACAATGTTCCAAATGTCAAGTAATATATTATGATTTTGTCAGTAAAAATATTTTTTTAATTCTTTCAAATTTAACAAAAATAATAATGGAATATTTTTAAACGGAATAATTAGGCCCATTTTACCTCAACTTCCTTAATACTTTCTTAGATTTACGCGAATATTTGACATTTTAAATAAAACTTCCTTACTTAAATCTGAACTACTATGAAGGTGATAGTTCTAAACTTAGATTATATGTCATAATATTTATAATCTAAGGTTCTAAACAAACATTGGCTCGAATTGTTGATTTAAACATACTTAATAGGAACTTATCGGTAATTGGCGGTGTTTTTATTGTTATGCAAAAAGGCTTAGTTAATATAAATTTGAATATTGATATTGAAAACGCACGAAAACGAATTGGCTATTACACATCGATATGCAAGTTCTATGCACATATCACCAAAGTAAAATGCGTCTGTGTCTAAATACAAATTTTTATTAAGTGTAAAAATTAACTAAGTTTTAAATAGTAAAGTTGTGATCGAGGCTTTCTATTTACGACAATAAACCTCGGAATGGATGGATTCTGTTTGGTATTTTAAACATGTGTACTTTATGTATGTGCGTATCTCATGTTATTACATGGATACTTAAAGTTCTATACTAAATTCTTTGACAAAGTTGACTGCCAGCTTTTTCATATTACGTTATCATGCATATACATACATATGAATATTATTATATCTAAAAATTCGTTAAAAATGCCAAAAAGTTAACTTATGTTTGATCTACATAGTGTCGGTGTATAGTTTTTACAATATTTATAATATAACCGACACTCCCTATTAAAAAACTCCAATAGGATCTCATCAAAAGCGTCAAAAGCCACATAGAAACCTACAAATATTTATTGGTTTCTATGTGGCTTTTGTCGCTTTTGATGAAAACCTATTGGAGTTTTTCAATAGGGCTGTTTAAAAATGTGGTTTATTTGTTTGAATGTACATTATACATATATAGATCATGATCTTTAGAGTTGTTCAAACGAATTTCATTCTTTTCCAAATACTAAGGTATATTGCTGGATGAGTATTTTAGGCATTTTAAATTATATGATTGGTCAAATATTTCATATTGTGTCAAATTTTGTTTCATTCTCTCGATTTATTGCGGAAAGTCTTTAGTTTTGATTTTATTTTATAAAAACCAAACAAGTTCTTATTAAAAATTTCTACAGATTAAGAAAAGCGAGATTATACATTTTTTTTATTTTAAAACGGTGATATGTAAGTAGAACTGGAAATTATATTAGTAGTTAAGTGCTATCCGTATTCGGATATTTTAGTACCATTTTTCTTTTCGACTGATATTTTTTGTTAAATCCCAACGATGGCGTACATTATTACATGTACCGATTTTAGTTTGAAGCTAATTAATATACATGAATACCATGTAAATAGAAGTTGAATGAAAACGAATGTTACACGCGTAATGTCATCATTACAATAAGCAATTTTAGTATAGAACGGATAATATAGCATAGCTAAAGCTGATGTTTTTATTAGTGACGTCATAAACCCCCTTTTGCATTTTCTTTTTTTTTTTGCTGAATATAAGTTACGCTTTTTTGTCAACAAATATTTTTATTACAATAGTAGCATTTTCGTAAGGAAAGATGGTGTAGTTGTGGGAGATATGATACATAAAAGATATTTATTTTTTTTAAAAAACTTTAAAAAAATATTAATATCTGTTTATCATAAAAGGATACCTTTATTATTTCCGGTATTGTTGAAAGTTGACAACAATAGCAAACGTGAGAATAATAATAACATATATCCGCGATGGGGTTTATTCTGAATGCTTATAGGTCAACAGAAAAGCATGTAGCTCGGGTGAAGGAAGGAAATTACAAATTTTTAGTTCGTGATTCTTTTTTTTGAATGTAATATGGGGCGACGGCGCTAGTGGGGTCAGCTTTCAATCGGACTCTCCGTCGTATAGAATCTTATCTTCTATATATAGCGATTTGATGTTAATGAACTTTACTCATTAGCCCGGAGGTTTGATGCAAACCGTTATTATGTAGATTCGACTTTATTCGACGGAGGGTACGAGGTGTGCTTAAGAAATAGAATGGTTTTCGATAGATATGATTGGTTATGTGTAAATATGTATGTACGTATATTTAATTACTAAATTTGGTGTTGATATTATTTAAACATATATAGTTTTATTTGAATTGTTGTAATTTATTTAAAATTGATGATTTTGCCTGATTTGCGAACTTTTGCTTGTCGACTTGGTTTTTTAGGTTGGATTTGGTTTTTTTTTGTTTAAAAAACGTTCTATTTACATGGTATATTAAAAGAAATGTGCTTTATATGTGAAAACTTTTAAAAATTTCATACAAAGAGCATTCTTACTGTCTCAACGCTTGATATTACTTATTTCCCCACATTAATAATTTTATTGTAAACACCTGCATATGATAATATAATTAATTGTTGCATAATTTTAATCAACGGTTTTATTTACAGTCGTGCCTTTTGGAGTTAAGATTTATTGTTAAATAATAAATATTTGTTGATTTTTATTAATTAAGTGTAACATAAATCTGTATTAAATTAGATATAATTGTATTTATTTTACTTTAAGACTTGCTTTAGTTCAGTTGTAAATTTGTACATAGTCTGGTTGTGGATAGAAGAAACTCCTTTCTTAATCGATATATCTTAATTGTATGAAGGTTTTATATCAATAATAATCGATTTTAATATGTTTGTACAATAGTTTTCCCTATAGTGACCAGACTATAATTTGTATTATATTATTCATAGATCTGATATACTCGCCGTAGAATATTCATATAATAATTTACAATGCATTCATTGGAATTGTTTAAATTAAACTTTCATACATTGTTCTAAGTTGATTTGAAATAAAAAAAATTATTACAACAAACAGTACAAAATAAAATTATTAGTTAAATAAATTATGTCAATAGAAAGAGATAGAAAATTATATAACTTTTTTTTTACAAAATAAAGGTGATTACACATTCATCACTAGTTACTGCTCGATTCATTGAAAATTAACGAAGGCATTTCCATTGTTTTTATTATGTTTAAAACACGCTTAAAAGTTTTTTTTTGTATTGTAGGTAAATGTAATATTTCTAATGCGTTTTGGTAGTTTTATATAAAAAAAACATCGATCAACAAAGTTTCTAGTCGATACACAATCCCATGCAAGTTCTCTTAAATCTGTCAGCAATTGTGTTTAGGTAATTATTCTAGTTGAAATATATATACAACAATGTAAATTGAACCTTAAATGCTATGGTTAAAGTTGTTTTCAAAAAAGAAAAATTAAAAGCGCGCTCAAATGTTCAAATGAGCGCTCATTCGGCGAGGACATATTTTGTCGCCGATTGTGTATCTAGTATTTTTTTCATTGATGAAAAAAAATTTTTATTGTCTATAAATAAGGTATTTTGATGATAATTTTGCCAATTTAATTTGAAATTATCAAAAATGAATGCCGGTCGTTTTCTTGTACGCCAGTCTATCGTTTGTTAATTAGAAAATGTTTAAAGACTGAATTTAATGGGATGTTGACAAAATTCAATTACGCTGTCATTTACATTAAGTGTAATTTAGTTTTTAAGTTGTATTGAATGTAGTGTGATAGGTATAGGGTCGTTGTTGGTGTTTAGATACTAGTTAAATGTATGTGAACTGCATTTTTAAGGGTCTCATATACATATGTATGTATATAAAAAATAGAACTGTTTGTATTTTTTGTTATAAATTGTCCAGTTCTCGCAGATTTTTAAGCTTTTAAATAAATTGCGGGGATATTTAACGTCGATTGATGGTGCACGATTAATATTAATTTTATTAGTATTGAGATGGTTTTTATTTACTTTATATGTACATGAGATCTTCGAAGTCGTTAGTAGAACATGTGATTAGTGCGTAACGTAGTTCACGAGATAACACCTTGGCCCCTGTGATTCATTTTGTTGATACGTAGTCATATGTTGGTCATTAAACGACATTTGTCACAAAATTGATAAGATTGTTTTTAATTATTTCCTTATTGTGATATAACGGTACGATTTGAATAAGTGTAGTGAGTTCGAATCCGGACGACGTAATTGTGTTAGTTTCATGTGCGAATCTTATTTTTAATATGATTTCTACTTGATAATATGGTGGTGTTAATATGCATATGATAAATGAAATTAAACTTTATTCAATCAGACTTATTACAAGCACTTTTGAATCGTTATTATAATAAAAGATGGTCAGTGTAGTAAGTCCGTGTGGAAGCTATCACCGGCTCGGAAAGCAGTTCTGCTGAAAAGAGCAGGCGAGAAACTACAGTTGCTTTTTTTAAATATCGAGTTACATTTTATTTATTTTACTGACAACTATAGATAGAACAACTGCATATGAGTTAATTTTCAAAGTTAGTAGTTAAAGAAAAACGTGTGGACAAGCTCGGATTAGGTCAGTATTGTGAACTATAGCCTATTCCCCTTTCCATTGCTTCCCCGTGCCCGCCAATGAAACGTGAATAGGGACGAATTGTTAACTATACTAAGTAAGATACAAGAATAAATGGCATGAAAATTAAAACTTATAATATTATTATTGTTAAACATGGTTCATATATTTATCTACACTAATATTATAAAGAGGTAAAGTTTGTGAGTTTGAATGGGGTCATTTCTGAATCTACTAAACCGATTTAGATGATGATTGCTATGAAGATAGTTTGAGATCATGGGAAGAACATAGGATAGTTATTATCCCGGAAATTATTACTCAAGGGGGTAAAAATGGGGATGAAAGTTTGTATGCTAGTTACTAAGTAATTTGGTCAAGTGCGAATCGATATTGCGAGTGTAGTACCACTCAAAGACAATATTCTACACGTACACGTAAATATCTTAAAATATCTTTAATCATATCTATGACAAAATCAGAACTTTAAATGGTCTGGTAAAAAAAAATATGATTTCATGTAAAAAATCAATACAGCTGTCTGGACTACTTTTATAAATGCGAAACTTTGTATGTTTGTTATTCATGCTCAAACAACTGGATGGATTTGGATAAAATTTAATACACAGATAGTTATGACTAAGAGGGCAACGGCAGGTATCTGCTACTTTTAAAAATAAAACAAAAAATTAATTTGACTAATACCAGTCTTGTTATTGTGTTTAATTCATCATATTATATCTAATTTGAAGAGCCTTTATAAAAAGTTTTGGTCAACAATGAACCTTTACCATTTTGCTATCTTCTAATCAGAGTAACGTTTTAGATATCATAAGTCGAAATGCTTATTGAAAATAAATCACATTTAGCTTTTAAGTTGCTTTCAAGAGCTACTCAGTACTCGATCCCATCTCCATATAGTGCCGTCATCGCAACAAGTTAGAAGGACTTTGCCGTTCCGTGATAGTGTCACCTGGAAATATTATATATATATAGTTGAAGTAAAACTTCGTCGGCAAATATTGCAATTAAATTAAAACAAATCATTGATTAAATAAGGCGTCTTAGGCATGTTAGAATCTTGTATTTATAGAATATAATATATGGAAAGAATATACTATTATATATCATTTGTCAGACAAACAACAACGGTTGCCATGGCAACAATTAATCATGTATTATGTCTCATTCTCTCGTCAGCTTAATTCTTTATATTTATGTGTTTGTCTTTTTCTCGTGTCGCATTTTCGATTCATCGAGTTTCAAATCGCAACAATTCTAAAGAAGTTTCACTTCAAAAACATGCTATTAACTATCGATAATGCATGGGACTCATCAAAATGTATTTATAATATTTATTAATATATCAAAATGTACCAAAACGTGAAAGCTTTACTAGTAGTAAAGTATAATAGCCATTGAATAAATTTTACTACGCACTGTCCGGTGTGTTTGTTGAAAGTACAATTATTAATACAACGATTAAAAAGTACTTGATACAAAATTCCTTGCAAAAGTTCTCTTAAAACTGTCACCAATTGTGTTTAAGTAATTATTCTAGTTGAACAATATATTATACAACAATGTAAATCGAACCTTAAATGCAATGCTTAAAGTTGTTTTCACAAATAAAATAAATTAAAAGCGCGCTCAAATGTTTAGATGAGCGCTAATTCTGTGAGGACATTTTTTGTCGCTAATTGTGTATCTAGTACTTTTTTGATCGATGAATTAATAAGACAAATAGAAGTATGTTAAAATCGACTTGGCTACTGAGCATTTAGGGATTTACAAACCCAAGCGGAACAAGGGTAAGTGGCTAGAATATATAATTAGCTGCAGTTTAGTATATGAGAAGCTACCTGTGAGGTAGGTGGTATTTTTGGATAGAGGAAGTGATACAGTAGAATAGTATATAAAAATCATTTGGAAGAAATGCAGGTGTCAAAAGTTATAGAGATTTAAATTTACAATATTATCATATTTTTTCACTCCTCCAGAGGCCGCATCCCATATACTAAACTTGTGCCTTTTAATTTCCCATAGTCAAGATCCCTGACACTATCTGACAGTACCTGTCGCACGGCGGCCTGGCAGCGCGGGTGCGCCAGCTGCGAGGCGCGCGAGGCGCCGGCGGCCGCACCCAGTTCCCACACCATAGTCTTGCCGCACTGATTGCCAAGGGCTATTACCTGCACAAAACACAAACATTGCACTTTACTATAAATGTAGCTCTTTCTAATTTCCCACTGCTGGGCACAGGCCTCCCTTTAATATGAGAATCAGGCCGTCGCCCACCGCGCTGGAAATGTGCGGATAGGTGGACTTCTCATGTCTTTCCAAATCTTGTTAGGTTCTCTCAGATATGCAAGTTTCCTGCTATGCTTTCCTTTACCATAAAACAAGTGGTAATCATGTTGGAAATGATACAGCACATGACAATATCAGAGGAGCAAGATCCGGGATTTTAGCCCGTGTAACTCGGTTAGCAAGCGACCACTGCCTATTACTTGTTGTTACTACGAGTATAAGTACTTGGCCAATATTATGCTATCTCTCTTTAAAGGTGAAAAGAGAACTAATGTTTACAAATACAAAAGAATTTAGAATTATTCTTATTTATATTTTCTTCTCAAAATAAAGACTTTATAAAAAAAAACTTTAAAGAAAGTAAGCAATCTACTTGGAAAAATCCAAAATAGAAGCATGAACAGCAAATCATGCTACTGTTTTTGGCTTCAACATTTATTTTTATACACTCCATCTATATAATTTTTTAGCCTGAGGTTACAACTGGGCTATAACTGTCTTAGAGATATTTTATTGTGAAATATTACTTTGGCATTAGTAAATATATATATATATATATATATATATATATATATATATATATATATACACACATAAAAGGTTCATTACCCGTTGACTGTAGTCCACAGCGAAACGAATAAACCATATTTCACATTCTTTATAGTCAAATCTATGTACAATGGTGACAGAATTGTCTCCAGGACGCAGTTCTGTCTCTTCCAAACGACCGGGCTTCCAACATATTATTGCATTTTCACATGACTAGAAATAATAAAGTATTAGGTTAATATATTTTTATTTATACATATTTGTAACAAAAACAAAACAAATTTTAATAAAATTTGGTAATTACTTAAAGAAGAATAGGTGTTTATTTGTATACATTTAACATGAAATCAATAGTCCCTTAGTAAAAATATTTATTTATTACTTACTTTAGATAAAATTAAATCACCCATCCATCTTACACAGTCCACATAGTTCCTATGAATATCTCTAGTGGAAAAATCTGGAAAGTGTTCCTTCAAGGAATTGAATGGTCTTAATGCTCTATGTGGATTGAAATTATAACTTTGTTTAATTGCTTCATTCATTGATGGTTTATCTAATCTCCATAGCTTTAAAGAATGGTCCATCCCGCATGACATGATTCTCTCCCCTTTTAAATCAAAGTCAGCACTAAGCACTTCATCTCTATGACCTTCTACACCTCCAAAAATCGCTATACAAACATCTGTCATTATATTCCACAGTCTTAAAGCATGGTCTTTACTGGCAGATAAGAGAAGATTTGGGTCTCTTGGATGAAATTTCACTTCATTTATGGCATGTCCATGACCTATGTAGTGTTTGATGCATGTTTGTGTAGCGGGATGGAAGATACGAACAATGCCACGGGACCCAGCAACAGCCAGCAGTGGAAGGTGTGTCTCTTCTTCATAAGACCATGCACATGTGTAGAAGGTTTCATCCACCTGAAAGTGGTTTGGGACAATTATTTGCATTGCTATATTGAGAAAGTAAGCTTTGATTAAGCAAAATACTTATTTATTAAAATATAATGCATTTCTTGGAAAATGTATAATAATTTAATATTCATGATTTCCATTAGTTCCTTTTGGATTGTAAAGTGAAAACAAATTAAAACTTACATCAGGATCTGCATAACACTGTAGAAACTTAAATCCCCCCGACTCTGGGCATTCGTATATAGACACTCTGTTACTTCCAACAACAGCAAATATTTGAGGTTCTCCTTCACCCAAATGGTGATTAAATTGACATCCAAATAAAGGCTGTCCATGATCCTCTTTTGCACTACAACTATAAATTAAGATTTGAGTCATAATGTTTCCTACATAGAAAATCACATTTTACTTTATTTATCAACATACTTAAATTTATAAGGGGGTTTAACTTGTTTAGTAACTTTTTTCTTCCCTCGTCTTCTCTTCTTCACTCGGGTGTTTGTTGGAGTTTCGCTACGGGAAGTATTGTCTGTGTTCGATGTACTGTCCACACTCGAAGTGTCATCCTGAACAAACCAATAGAAAAGTAACTATGGAAATGTGAAATCGATTGAAAATAATTTGATAATTGAAAAGTTTATTTCTATAATAATTCAATAATAATATTCTTTTTATTTATGAAAGATCGGATTTTTTTTAATAACTACAATTTAATTGATATGCAAGCCCAATGTGAATACAAAGTCACGTTGCTGAGTCACAAAGGAAAGTAGCAATAACCTTACACTTACTGCTTCGTTATCAGAAAAGTTCATTTTGTTAACTTTTATCACTAAAATTTGTAACACTAAACTATTAAAAACATTAAGGTTAATACAAATACATTTAAATTTATCACTTTTTCTCAGTCAATCGACATTATCAGCTGGCAGTGGCGTCCTAAACGTCAAATGTCGAATTTTCGCGGGAGAAATTTGTGTCAAATTGACGTATTTGTCACTTGAGTGTTGCCATCCTTTTTTAAATCTATATTCCTTATCACCGCAAGGCGAAAATATGTAAGCAATTTATTGATTTGATTTCTAAATTTCTCGTCTAAATCCAGACGTGCGGATACACTCATTTCTATAACATGACCCACACGTTCTTCGTTTACAATTTTTGGTTCTCTTTTCGTAAGTTAACCAGAGTGTTTCCATATTAGGAAATCGCATGGGCGAACTCTACAAGTGTGCATAATATCTGTACCCGTAGTGGCTGTTATTGTAACCAACGAAAGATATACTAATCACTTTATGAGCCATAGGTACGATTTTTATAAAAAATATTCATGTAGCAAATACCTAATGATTTTATCAGTCGTTAATTACATATTTTTGCGACTTGTCAGTATAGAATCTTATCGCATACCGCCCATGTCGATCTTAATCGTAGATTATTTAATAATTTTATTTGCTAATATGAATTAGTTCATATAAGTAAAAATAATTTATTAGCGTATATTTGAAGCGAAACTATGAGCTATTTCAAAAAATAGAGGTATTAAAAATGTCGCCACAATTTGCTTTAACTTAGACAATTAATTGCGTTCGTTGTCTAAAAAAAATATTTACACTTCCTCGAATAAATTGCGGAACGTTTCTAAAACAATTAAAGGTAGGAATTAGACTTCAATCCAGTCTCGGGTCTCCCCGTGGTTCTTTCGATTTCGCCAGGCTGACCGTAAAACCACCTCACTCAATTATCTGTAGGCTCCGTCTAGACCACGCGTGTACTCCGGTACATTTAGCTAAATTAAAAATTAGAAATAGCTATATCTGTGAATTTGGCTTAAATGAGGGTTCGACTGATCATATACTATTTAATTATCCCAAAATGAAATATTCCCTACATGGCATAAACCCTCCTCAACAGCCCAGTTAACACCAAATGTTTACTAGCCCTTGTGTTTAGCTCATTTATTAAAAAAAATTGTTAAATTTATAGTCTATATCTACTATCTATACTAATATTATAAAGAGGTAAAGTTTGTGACCTTGTAGGGGGTAAATTCTGGATCTACTGAATCGATTTAGATGTTTGGTAAAAAGATAGTTTGAGATCCTTGGAAGGACATAGGATACTTTTTATCCCGGAAATCATCCCTTAAAGGGGTGAAAATGGGGATGAAAGTTTGTATGAGGAATCAACCTAATAAATTAAATTAAGTGTGATATAGTTCTAATTATTTATGTATTTTCATTTTCAACCATTGTACCATTTTTGTATCGAGATTTTATTGTTGTAGGTTGCTCCTGTAGAAGTTCACTAGGGAAATTATTATTTAACGAATCTTACAATTTCCATGCGACATAGGTGTATATACCTAGGTATGATGAGTTGTTGTGGTTTGTATTATAACGTGTTTTCCTGTGGGAATAAGATAATCTCCCGCGGTAAAAAATAGCCTATGTCACTCTCCAGTTATCCCACACAAAAAAATCACGCCAATCCGTCACTTTGTTTCGACTTGAAAGAAGAACAAACAAACACAATTTCATATTTATAAATTATAATATTATTGTGGATGCAGTCATTCAATATACGTAATAACTAATAAGACTCGCAGTTAAAAGTATAAAATATGTAAATATATACGACGTACATAAATACAGGTCAAACACATAACCCTCCTTTGGGCTACGGCGCAGTCGGGTAAAAATATGGGTAAAACAAATAGTAAAGGTAAAACGGTAGTAGTGGTTAAAATAAATCAATTTATAATGATGATTTAATAAATAAAACATAAAATAAGTACATGAAAAAAGAAATAAAAAAATATATAATCTAAAATTTTATTTGGAAATTTACAAATATAACAACAATCACTTTTGAAGGAACGAAATTATATAATGGTAACAAAATAGCTAAAGCCTTAAATAAATACAAAGTATAAAAATATTTTCCCAGTAAACTTAACTTTTTAATCTAAGTCACAGCCATTTTTTTCTATAACTAAAAAAAGAATTTAATAACTAAATTATATTATTATTTCTTAATACTGATATGCTCATTTATCAAAAACGTTTAATATACTGATTATATTAGCAATATCACTTTGGTTCAAATGGCAATATTACTTCGGTTGTATGTGTTATAATAAAAAAAATAGCTTTACAATATACCTACTGATTCCATTTAAAGCTTTCTTTATTATTACAACAACGTTTTTTATTAGGTGTGTTACTTAATTTTATAAATGTAGAAAATTTATTATAATACCTTTAATTCCATTATAAGATACTTCATGAAAAGTTTATAGATAATTTAATGTCTTTCTAATACTATTTTAGCTTTCAATTCAAATAATTCGTTCAAAAATATATTTCGGGACGGTATGTAATATCGATCCATTCTTAATTCTCTGAATGTGGAACAGCCATGTAATATCCAATAATATGGTTACTTTATACTTATGATATTGTAGTATAATTAATTTTTCATAAATATATATAAAGTCATAGGTAGTATATTTCCTCAGAAAAGTTATAATCCTATTAAATTATTGGTAACTTGTTTAGGTAATAACTTGTTTAATATCAGAGCCTCTTTAAATTTTATCTTTGTTTGTATGTCCTTTAAAATATCATTAAAGATTTTTTATATCATTTTACCATAAATGAGCGGTTATCTTAAAAATTAAATATATGAAGCCTCAGAATATGCCGGCTTGTTATATGTAAATTGAGTTAGGCGGCAGGCAAGTGCACGCATGTCTTAAAGCCAATTTTAGCCAAGGTCTAAATCTATCTACTCTAGCGTATACTCCGGGATATCCTTGTCTTGCACATCCTCGACCCCATGACACGATTCCTAAAAAAAAAATAATGCACATTTTAAAGTTACATAAATAAATAAATGAAGGTCTACGCTTTTCTAGGCTCCATTTTTTAATTATAGATAAGTCGCTGTGGCGCTTACTTTTAGTAGCGAAAAGTTAAAAACAATACTGCCACCATGTTAGTTGTTAACGTTTGTGCCTTTGTAATATTTGTATATGATTATGACTTGCATGTTACCTACGTTTAAACTTGTAGGGGAGAAAATAAAGGAGTGGAGGAAGAAGAGGATTTAAGGTCGATCCTTCTCACGGAACGAATATTTACAATACGTTAAGAATTGTTACTTTACGTTTTTACTCTGCTATCGTGCCTAGGGGACTTGTGCATTTATAATATTGAGTGGCTCTCTAAAATTTATTATATCTAGTTAGATTTAGATTACATATATAGGTATAAAGTATAAACGCTCTACAGTATTATATTTCAACTAGCATTGCCCACGTTCAAATACCCAAAATACAAATTCTTAGGTTTTACATATTAGTATACTCTTACAATGCAGTTTTTGTATTTTTTCTCAGAAATGAAATATTTTCCCGCGGTAAAAAATATCCTATATGTTGACCTGGATAGCCAGCTATCATCATACCAAATTTCATCAAAATCTGTCCAGTGGTTTTCTCGTGATGCGGTAACAGACAGACAGACAAAAATTTTAAAAACTACGGACTCTGTATCGACAATAATGTCTATTTCAATTAGATTTTCCAAAAAATATTTAATGTACAGATTCGACTTAGTTACAATTTTATTATATGTATAGATGTATAGATAAAGAATTATTATTATATTTGAGTAGATTTTAACTACACTTACCAACAATAGTATAATGTGGCTGCGCCATCAAGAGTGGACCTCCAGAATCACCAGTGCACGAATCTCTCTCAGGAGCATTTGCGCATATCATACGGGGCGTCACTTTTCTACGACCATATCCAGCACCCGTACAGTCCTCTTGTGACCAGATTTGTACTTCTGCCTGTACAGATTAATCATAAAATATACTTTTTAATTATTAAATTCAATTAAGACTAATGGAGGTCACTAAATGTTAAACGTGCAAAATAATAATTACCTTTTTATATTTTTTTTAAATATTTTTTAAATCTCAAAAGTAGGTATTATCCTTTTTGTGATTTTTGTTGTGATTTACGAACAAAATAGTTTCATAAATAGAACTTAGAAGATTTTATAAACTAATCTTGTAATAAATTATCGATAAATTGCGAGTCTATATAAAAATCGTTATATTTATAATGTAAATACAAGTAGGTACGATATATACTGACTCTACATTCTGAATTTTTTCATAATTTTAGGCACAGATAGTGTACAGAAGTTTTGAAGATAAAAATGCTCATATTTTTGTATCCCTAGTTACGATCTTTTTTATTATTGCTCTGTAAAATTAACCTCATGGATTAAAAATCATTTATTTATCCTATTCTAATGGCCGGCGGAGTTACTCTATATATTATGCAAGTTGAAATATTTAACTTTCTTTATATAAATGCTCGTAGAAAGGGACTGTTTTTACTTTTATAGTACATTTCTAAAGGTACTTAGATTCTAGTGGTCCCATAAAAAATTGGTCCATGACCAAGCAATTAACTTAGTTGATTTAATACTTTCTAATATTTCGTTACGGCCATAATAAAATATTTCATTGAATATAATGAATGTGAAAATAGCCATTACTGTTAAGAAAGCGAGTATCATTAAATAAATTTGGTTACTGTACGGTGTACCTACATACCTATTTTTCAATTCTGGTTTAATAACGATTTATGTTCAAATAAAAATATTACTTTCTCCTCATTCCGTTCGCCATTTTTGCCATTTTATATCGTATTAAAATATATACCTATTGTTGAGTATGTATGATATAAATATTGGATAGTGGTCAACAATTCCAGGCTTTGTCTTTTGCAGATCGGAACAAGAATTTGTATCGTTCAATACAAAGATTGGCACTTTGGTGAATTGCTATTGAAATTGGGAATTTCGACCAATCAATTCAATGCACAATACCTATATCTTTTATGTGTATATTTTTCGTTAATATTTAATTCGCATATCAACGTTTAAGATCAAATAACATCAAAGGTTAATGACATCAATTTAGAATTTAATATGAGTTCGTAGATTAAAATCTATGATGAATCGCAATATCATAGATCATCACATTAAGCTATAATTAATTATTATATATGGCAAATAAAAAGCTCCAGCCATTTTAAACTAAAATATTTTATTGTTGTGATATATAAAAAATATTCTTTTGCGATATTGAAATTTGTTATTTAAGATTTTTAATGAAAATACTAAATATTTTTGTATCAAGAATAGCTTTGTTTGTATTTAAGTACTTACTTTCATAGGAATGCTAGATGGTGGTCCTTTTTCTATAGTACTGCCCCATCCAGAAACAACAGCATCTACACCTCCAAGAGCATCCTCATCATCTAGAAAATTATTTGTTTATATTTAGCGCTACCAAAAGTTAAACATTAAAGGCAAAGGAGAGTGAGATATAGAAAGAGAAGAAAAAGTGCATACTTATTGTACTTAAAGGAAGTGAGTCAAAAGTAGGTTGTGTAATGTAACTTCATAGTTAAGTCTGCACTATTATCCGTTTTCTCCTAAATCAGAATAATTTGTGCTAAATTCCATATATTATTTACTTTTCATCTTGCCAGATAGAGCTAACGAATCGACAAAAATGGAAAGTCTGTACAATAAAGACATCACTCACATTCTATTTCGCAGTTGTTATTTAGTAGGTATAATATGTTATAATAAAAATTATAATTGATAAAATATACGCACCGGGCAAACAAGCTGGTCGGTACAATTTGTCTGGTAGTGGCTCTGAAAGCCTCAACACAGCGATGTCGTTATCATAAGTATATCGATTGAAATCCGGATGCTGAATCACGTGAGATACAGGGAAGCCATCTGATTTGGAGTTGTTCACATCGTATTCTCCTACCAACACAGTTAGACGGGATGCCTCGACTCTGTAAAAGAACATATTTTCAGTATAAGAATATCTATCTATTGTCAATAAAGTTTATTTTTAAAGTCTGGAATGGAATAAGCATTGATCTGCTTCTGGGCGTGTAGAGCGGTTCCAACAGACTATTATAGTAGAGGCATTATAAGGGCAATATTTTGATAATACAAACTTGCGAAGTATATTATCTTTCAAGTATATAAATGTAAAAAAACACTTATTAACTAATAAAAAAAACAATTTTTATGTTATTCATATTATCAAATATTTAACTTAGACAAGTAAAACGTGTAAGTCTGGTATAAGTATAACTTGTCTCATAAACTTCTAAACGGGTTTGAAAATGATGCTAATGTGTACGAGTATATCGTTAGTTATTTCTCTATTTAGTATTTCAGTTTCGAGTATAGTATGTTCGTAACTATGAACGCTTAATATTATAACTATGAGAAGTGCCGGATTAACCCTTAGCGCCGCCCCTGGGAATAGTAAAAATGCCGCCCTATTATTGAAATTTCGAATAAAATGTTGCGAGTTAAAAAAAAATAATTATTATTTATTATATTTTTGTAAAATGCAAAGAAATAATTTATAAATGATATTAATTTTTCGAAAAATGTACCTATCTACTAGTTAATCTTTTTTCATTTTTTATTTTTTGTAAAATTTTCGATAACGCGAAGAATAATTTTTTTCCGTCCTCCGAATTTTGCCGCCTCTGAAAATTTGCCGCCCTGGGCACTAGCCCCGAGTGCTCCTAGTGTAATTACTACTATCACTATAAATTATATTGAAAGAAACTATTGCATAATTCGAAAAAGTTCAGTTCATTGTTTTAGTTGGTTTACACGATTACGGAGGCTCGTCACGTCTGCGTCACTGCGACAATCAGTTATTGCGTGACGAAACAAAGAAAAGGTGCGCGGGCGCATCCAACTCAGTCGACCTAGACCCGATTTGTTAAGACTGACCTTGCTGCTAGATTCTATATTAAGCTTATTTGTTTGTTTTTGAAAAATTACAAAATTTTACCAATAAAATATATAACACTTAAAATAATTAACTTATTTTTTAATGCCTCTCAGACTGTTAGTTTATAGCAATATTGGGGTGCAGAATTAAAAATAATTTAAAAAATATTCGAAACAATCGTAGATGAATTGAAGTGCATTAACATTTATTGAGGACTTGCGGCTCACCCTCGCTTCGCTCAGGTTCGCCTCTAGAAAAACAATAACAAATCTATGCCACGGGAACCGTACATTTTTCCGTTATAAAAAGTAGTCTATGTGTTATTCTGATGTATGAGCTATTTTATTGTAAAGTTTGATCCAAATCCATTCAGTAGTTTTTGGCGAAAGAGTAACATACATACATCCATACTCACAAACTTTCACATTTATAATATTAGTATAGATTTTGGTAGGTAGTTGTTTCTGTATGCAAATTGAATAGAGGACTTTTTTTTATCTATTTATCTGTTTATATCAGTGTTTAAAGATATCCAGCAATGTGGCCAATGAATTTACTTAGTAATACAAAATTGTATTACATAGTAGCGCTTACATGAAAATTCATTGCATTTAAATAAAGTTTCTCTTACATTACAACATTTTGTTAAGACAATTCATCTGAATTTGCAAGATGAAATACAAGTTGAACAAACACTTTACATGCGCAACATGCAATCTTCAAAGTTGTGTAATTGAAAGACCCTAAGAGTCCAAAGGTTAGGTATGTGTGCAACTCGTCTTGTCATATAAAATTAAAATAATGTTTAATAAATTTGCATATATTTCAATATATTTTAAGAAGATTATAAATTCTAAGTAAAATAGTATTATAGTAAGAATAATCAAGTGACGTTACTATATATATTTTTTAAATTGTTATTTCTTAAAATCACAATAATAACATCATTAACATGAAAATTTGTTACTTTCTTACGCTGTTATGGCTATGGAAAATTTTAATTAACTTCCCATCCCATCCATCCAGGGGAAACCCATCATGGGGACCCTACCGGCCGTCAATGGGTAGGGTACTGTGAGACTCCTACTCACTAAAACCCACAGCGGAACGAAAGAAACATCCTGGGTTAACGAAGGGTAACACCTGGTTTCTTATTTTAAAAAAAGCAATAAAATTATTTAAAAAAGCCTCGGCCCTTAAAGGTTTCCCGCGAGAAAGAAAGGAAGGAAATAAAGCTTTCTCCCGAGTTTAGAAAACAGATGTATGAATTAAGACAGATGGTGGTATTATTTAAATAAGATATATAGATATAAGATATGTATATGAAATGCTAATCTAAGATAAAAAATCTATACATATAATAAAATTGGAACTAAGCCGAATCTGTAAATTAAATATTTTTTGGGAAATCTTATTGAAATAAACATTATTATCGATACATAGGCCGAATCTATAGTTTTTAGAATTTTTGTCTGTCTGTCTGTCTGTTACCGCATCACAGAAAAACCAAGGGATTTTGATGAAATTTGGTATGGTGATAGCTGGTTATCCGGGTTATATGTTGACCCGGATACTTTTTACCTCGGGAAAATGTCTCATTTCTGAGAAAAAATACAAAAACTGCCATGTCTCTTACATATACTAATATGTAAAACCTAAGAATTTGCTTTTTGGTCATCTGAACGCGGGCGGAGCCGCGGGCTATGCTAATAATGTATATTAAACTTCAAAGTTAGTTATTATTATGCCATGCGTACTTTCATTGATAAAGAAGTATTAGATGGGTATAAGTTACTACTTACGATATTCATCTCAATTGTTCAAGCATTATAAGATTCTTATGAAAGCACAATACTTAATAAATAAAATTTCATTTGTCGTGTCATTAACATATTAGTATTAAAATTATAAAATAGTGAAAGTTTTTCTTATTCATTATCAAAGATTTCGAAATTTGATAAAAATGTGTAGTGGACGCCTAAAGTCAGTCTTTGAGATGGTTCTTTGGTGGGCGGTGGGAGGTGGCCCTCTTCGGGGGGCGGTGTACCATGCGGGTTGCTCCTGGTACTTCTCTGATAGCAGAGTGGACTTTGGAGCAACCCCATGGTCGTGGTGGTCTGCTTTGGCAGACCTGCCGTCGGGGCGTCGTAGTTGAATGCGTAAGCGATCCTGCGACGCCCCATCAAGACGGGGGAAGGTTTTGTTGGGTTTTAGTGGGTAGTACTGGCTTGTTTACGCCGGTGAATCCCACACGTCGTGCGTAAATGCATTTCCCAACGTTAAAAAAAAAAGAAAAAAAGTCTTTGAGATGGTTACGCTTGCTACTTGCATTAACATTGCATAAGACAACATCTTACAAGCTACTGTGCACGGTGCATTCGTTAATAAAAAGATATTGTGTATAATTACATCCTTAATAAATAATAATTACTTCGTAATTTATGGTTGTTTTATGCTCAGATCTTTTTAATAGAGGGTTGCGACATGATGGAAAATTATGCAAGTATTGAGTTATGACTACATAACTAGTACTGTGTCTTCTGTGTAAATAGACAGCTTATTGTAAAATTTTACGTAACTTTTAACGGTGAAGAAATATACGTTTTTTATAACATTTTGTCTGCCGAGCGCCATATTATTTTTATAATATTTCGCCGAGCGCCAGCCCTGCCTTGTTAGGTACACTTAGGCACAATCAATAAAAAAATATAATTATTTTGATTCCATAAATTTAAGACATTGCTTTATCGGACCGTTGTTTTAAACGATCAGGAATTTGAATTACTTGTAACAAGCATTAAATCAACACCAGCGAGTGTAAAAAAATATAATGAAATGTAACAGTATATTTTGTTATTTTATTATAACTAAAATTAGGCTGCGATTTCACACACTGAAAGCTTTACAGCAATTATTTATTATATATTTATTATAAAATATGGCCTCTGTTTTTATTTGTTTAAGGAGATCATAGTGTACTGTACATAAAAGAGAGATTAAGCTGAAAACTCTAACTGCTCATGCAATGACATAGCAAATATATACTTTTTAACGTTTTATTATAATAATTATATTTAATTTGTTGATAGTACCTATTGTATACTAAGTATATACTATCTAGCAATATTATATAGCTATCTTGCATCTAAATTTTCTTCAAAATTTTAATGTCTTGTACAATTAGTTAACTTTTCATTTTTTAAATAAAAAAAAGATAGAGTTGAATATTTACTTAAGATTATTTAATAACATCATTTATATAAACACGACTTGCTTTTACGTGCCTTAATATTATCACCTTATTGAGAACTCTTTAAGCGTACTAATATTTTACAAGTACTTTCCCTCGGGTCGCGGTCACGTAAATATATGTAAAATCGATGTTTATCCGCTATTTATTTCATCGATATGAATTAAAAGTTGAATTTTATTAAATAAATGTTTCAGATATTTTTATTATTCAATTAGTGATACTTGTATTGGAGATTAATGTATTTAAAAAAAATACGGTTATGTTTGTTTAATATTATAGTCTTCTCCTAAAATTAATTGTAAAACCTGTATTTTTTTTAAATTTCGACCCTTAAATAGGTTTTAGCCAAGTATCTTTATGTTATACAAGCGACTCACCCTCACTTCGTTCGTCCCTAGGTACGTTTTTACGATTAATATGGAATAGATAGACTAAGTATATATTATGTATATGATATAAAGCCTATAGCCGTCCTCAATAAACGGGCTATCTAATGCAAAAAGATATTTTTCAAATCGGATTAGTAGTTCCTGAGATTAGCGCGTTCAAACAAACAAACAAACAAACAAACAAACAAACAAACAAACAAACAAACAAATTCTGCCTCTTTATAATGTTAGTATAGATAGTATAAATAAATATAATCTTTTTCTTTTTCGAATTATAAAATATGTATACATAAAATACTTATATTTATTTCTAATGATTTTATAGCAATTAAATTAGTAACTGCTAACATAATATGTTCATATATTATTATTTTAACAAATAAAAGTATCGTCATGTTTATTAACAATGGCTAAGAAATAAATGAATTTTAATTGAGCTCGTGTTCATATTGACACAACGAAGATATGTAATTTGTAAATAATGATCAGCTTTCACTCGAGGCCTCACCCAAATAGCCTATTGTTTGTAGATGTGTAAATTATCATTTTTGTGCTAGTCATTAGGTGAGAGATTAAATATGCACAATGAATGTAGTGTGTACTCAGCTCCGCGCCTATATAGCTACCTATCCATAGTTTTTGTGTTTCCGTATGTTAACAACAACTGAATATGGAAATATTCAGTTATAATAATTATTAATTAAAAAAAATGTTTAGAATGAAAATTAACAAATATTGTAAGATACTTTAGTCCCATTTTTGTATTTTCATTTTGTTTTGTAGGTAGGCACTGTCTGTACAAGTATATAATGAATGACCTTTGAGACATCTAAACCTTAGTCTCTCCCGTGTCCATGGTTATTGTAAAACGTTCAAAACGTCCAACCAAAAATCAAAATAAATCCGAAAAAATAGTTTTATTTTCAAAACTATGTAACTTACTCTACAATATCATTTTCGGGTTAGTCTCTGGTACGTTTATGAAATAGACAGACTACCTATATATAATACCTATAGCATACATACAAATAGCCTATAGCATCCCTCAATAAACGGACTATCTAATATAAAAAGAACTTTTCAAATCGGATTAGTGGTTCTTAAGATTAGCGCGTTCAAACAAACAAATAAACTCTGCCTCTTTATAATATTAGTATAGATTACATGTATAGAATGTACCTACGTCCTACATGTTAATGACACAAATTAAAATAGGTAGTTATATTTGCACATAAAATGAGTTTAAATTAGGCCTAATATTAAAACTAAATTTTGAACTATTTTATTTTGATTTCTTGAATAATTTCTTAGATAATTAATTTTATAAAGAACCTAATCACGTATACATTTATAATAAATCAAAACAAAAGATGTAATTTTTATTAGCGACAGTTTAACCGAGTACGGAGATAAATCATCTGTCAAAATTTCAATTTATTAGCCAGTTCGCCGTTAAGATGCGTAAGTAAAGTAATAACCCCATTACTGTCTCGGGATTGCAAAGGTTTGTTTTGTTCAAACTTTTATGGAGCTTATATGGGCAATTTATTCAATATGACCCGCGTATTGCATATCTCGGTCAAAATTCAAATATGCTGACCTAAATTTTCGTGTAACTGAGCCGAATAAAAGTTGTGTGTGTATTTAGCTCCTTTTTTTTAACGTCCCACTGCTGGGCACGGGCCTCCCTTCAATACGAGGGGGATCAGGCTATAGTCCACCACGCTGGCCAAGTGCGGGTTGGTGGACTTCACATGTCTTTCGAAAACTTGCTAGGTTCTCTCAGACATGCAGGTTTCCACGATGTTTTCCTTCACCGTAAGACAAGTGGTAATCATGTTCGAAATGATACGCACATGAAAATATCAGAGATGCGAGACCCGGGATTTGAACCCGCATCACTCGGTTTGCCAAGCGAGCGCCTTACCACTGGGCTACCACTGCCTATATTAAAAGTTGTATTGAGACTAAAATCGCTGAAGGGATGTAGGAGGAACATTCATTGGTAGAGGTAGAAAGTATTTTTGTTTTCGAACAGAACTTGCAAAGATAAATTTGCACATTATTTGCATGCTGTGCATTATTTTTAAACGTCTCATAAAGAAAAGATCCCACAGAGATACGTATTTTTATGTAGGTACTCTCCATAGATCGATAACATTATTTCTGAAATACATGTAATAAAATTTTTAAGAGGTCAACTTTGAACATTGAATATTTTTTTAAGTGTTAAAGAGACACTTGAGATGTAATACGAGCCATATCAATTGTTTATTCGAGTTTTTCCAGTTAGGTTTAATTTTAATCAATAAGTCTAAAAATATAAAACTTCCGTCCCTTCTTCGCGCTTTCACACAAAGCTGGACTTAACCCTTGTGGCGTATATAACAATAAAAATAGTCATTCTATTAAATAAATCAAAGGTACTCACTCGTAAACACAATGGGTGGCGGTGATGAGGTGGTCTCTCGCGACGACGGTTGCCCCACAGATAAGTTTTCCGTCTCTCTTCAGAGCTGCTAGCCAGGGAAATTCGCCTGGAGTGAGCGCGCCCCCACCTACCACTCGAGCACCGCGAACAGTGCCACATGCTGAAATAAGTATTATTTTTTGTTAAAAATGTTTTCTTTTTCACTATGATAATATAAAATATGTATATCACAGCTTGTACAATAGCCATTTCTAGACCCATTTTTGAAAATTTCGATAGAATTGTGTCATCGATATGATACGACAAATAAACAGATTGACAATATTTTTATGAGTTGAATTTTGGTATCACTTAAAACTTCCGACCGAGCTTCGCTCGGAGTTTTTGGCCGAAATTACAATTTTCTTTTTAATTTGGCTTACAAACAAAAAATAAAAATAAACTAATAAACTAAACGGACACCTTGATTTTCAATCTTGCACCTTGGCCCCTTGATCACGATGCTTATGCCCAAGAGTGCAAAATTAGCGACCATATTTTGCGTGGATAAAGTGAAAGAAAACCGCGCTAAAACACGCGTTTTCCAGGACATAAGACTAATCTAGATTGATTTTTCGCCCCCGAAAACCCCCCCATACCAAATTTCAGCGAAATCTTTAGAGCCGTTCCGAGATAGCCAGTATAAATAAATAAATATATAAGAATTGCTCGTTTAAATATATTAGATATGCGATACCGCAGAGACAGAAGTGGACAAGCAGTGATAATCGAAGTAAATAATGCGTAAATATTCAGTACAACGCCACACGCGGTAGATTTACTACTTGTTCATAACATTGTAGGTTCTTTTCTTTCTTATTTTAATATTTAAGTTAAAAACCTGTTTCTTACATTTGTTAAAACAGTGCTTTTGCTAAATTTATATCAAATAAATTATAAAAAATATTATGTATATCTCAATCTTCTCAGTATTAGTTTCTGATGATGTAGATGGTTACTTTCATAAATTATACATTTATCTATCTAGGTACTTACGCCGTTAAGTAATAAATATTTCCTTTGTTTGCAGACAATTATAACGGCGCTCCTGTGAATTGCTAACATTGCAAAACTTAGCTTTTACTGCACTTAACTGGGTTAATTCTCGGCGATAACAAAAATGAAGAACTGAGCCATCTGCATAATTATACAGTGTTTGCAAGGACGTCTGTCTGTTTGGAAAGTATTGGATGATTTTGTCACTTTATAGCTTATTACATCTACATAATATGTCGATATTTTAAAGGATTTATATGCAATAAAAAAAGAAGCAACTAATTTCTATATCATAAGATTTAGAGAAGAAAATATGGCCACATGCCTAGAATAAAGAAAAATGTTGCTCTAGATTGAGTAATTAATATGAGGGTTTGCTGAAGCTGTGGCTGTTTATGCGTAGGCGATTGCATATTTATTGTTTTCGGATATACAATACTCGCAATATAAAGTTAGTGAGTTATATACATTAAACTTCAAAGTTTAAGTTCCAGCAGATTAAAACCCAGTTTTAAACATGAAAAATTACTTTCATTTTTACATATGTATTGTAAAAATGAACGCAACGTAAGTAATAAATTGTATTTTGTAAAACAAAATTAAATAAAAATCACAAGTAGCACACATAAAATCGAAAAGCCCAATAATCATGCATAAGAAATAGGCTCTACAGGAGTGAAAGTTTATATGATATTCTTAAAATTTAAAATCAATACTGTATGCATCAATTTTATGGCCAAAAAGGTAAATCGTAGTTGAAGTTAAAAAGGATATTCAAGTTTAATGATAGTATAATAAATAATTTAATCTTTAAACGATAAGTTAATTATTATTTAGTCCAATTCATTAACACTACACCATAAAAAAAGGCCGACTGCACGTGAAACTCGCCTGTAGGAAGGTACTATAAGTTTAGACTTATACTTCCGTATTTTTTTTCTAAGCTCTAGACTGAGGACAACTAACTAGGACTAAAATAAATGTCTACTCGGCTAAATATCTAATTTTGTAATGTGACTTCTTGTTGTTGTAATTGTCCTTCACATTTTAATTTGTCAAATGACGCAACTGACCAAAGCTTTTTTTTTAAGTTGCAGTTTGGCTAAAAAATATTTTATTTTAAAAGTAAAAAAATGTCACATAGATGATAGATTTAAAAATGGAAAAAGGACGGCAGACAGACAGACGCATGATTGAATCTTAAGTTATATGAGCTCCGTTTTTACATCAGATGTAACAAAGTATTAATAATTTTATTTTAATACATTTTTTATTTTTTAATCTTTTGATAATCTTCAATGTAAATTAAATTGAATCATATCATGGATTTGAGTTACTTGTTAACATTGATGGCCTTTCAGTTTTTTGCAGGATTCCATCTTTCATAGGTCTTTGGATATAGATATTGAAATAATGTTTGCTTTATAAATGTATAACTATTTAGTGAGCAGGTTTTTAAATATGTTATAATATATTAAATGTTAATTTATTTATAGTTTGATACAGGACTTTTTTCTTTTATTAATTTTATTTTCATTAAAAACTAAGTATTATTATTAACACAACTTACTGATTTTCAATATATAGGACGCCCTAAAATTATATTTCAGGTCAAATGACCCAATAACGGATTTGTAGAAAGGAAAGTTGTCGGCGTCACTTAATAATATGTTAAGAGGTACCTAATAAATTCAGTACAATTCGTCATGTCCGGATCACTTAACACACTGGTGAGAATTATTTTTTAAGTTCTGCACTTTACAGTGTGCGGACCGTGTATTTGTGCACTTATAGTGAAGTGTAAACATAACATTTATGTAATGAAAATGACATTCGATATATTCTATCATGTTGTTTATTGAGTAATGTGTTGCATTTTACCCTTTCGAATTTACTATGTGGTGATCAAGTGATTTATTCATGTAATAAATATTTTAATATCTTTCACGTACTATTGAAGATTATAGAACTACGATTGTTATAAAAAAGCTTGCATGCTTGTAAAGATCTCCAAAATGTTAAGATTTAATTTGGACACAATTGAAACATGATAATATACACTCTTAAATTTAACTTTTGCATATAAACAAGCGACTCATCCTCGCTTCGCTCGGGTTCGTCCCTAGGTTGATTCTCCATACAAACTTTCATCCCCATTTCACCCCCTTAATGGATGATTTCTAGGATAAAAAGTATACTATGTCCTTCCCAGGGTCTAAAACTATCTTCTTACCAAATTTCATCTAAATCGGTTGAGTAGATCCAGAGATTACTCCCTACAACGTCACAAACTCACAATTCACAAACTTTACCGCTTCATTATATTAGTATAGACATACTTATATGAATTAGAATTTTTTTAAAACATAAATTAAATATTTCTAAAGTGTGCATATTAGTCTACTCGTATTCGCACCCGCATGCAATACATATCTCAAATTCTGATACGTCTTTTAATCTTAAAAAATTATATAAAATATAGCAAATATATGTATTATTCTAAAGTGTTTATAGGCCATCATTATGTTTTGAAATTAATAAGTTTTTATAAATAGCATTGGTGTATTTAAATATATTTTATATTTTTTTTAATATTAAAAACTAATAAATATACACAAAATTCAAAATCAAAGCAATAATTTCTTTTATCTTTTCGTACGTATGATCTTTCGCCCGGAAGATTTCCGGACCGCCTATCGTGCATTCAACGTTATTCAACCTCCCATGCCCTACTGACCCCTTTGATAAAGTTTCTGACTAAAACACTCATGGCGCTACTCATGCATACTAAGAAGTAATCACATAAAATGATTATCAATTCACGTAATATTTAAATTATTTTTTTCCTTAAAGTAGCATCAATTAATTACCCAAGTTTAAATAAAGAACTTGAATTAAATAAATATTTAATTAATTTGGAAATTTATTGCAAGTGTGTGGATATTTTAAATGATTGCTTACACAATGTTGTAAGCCCAATGTGTAGTTTTATAAGGGATAAAAGCTTTGAACTTGAAAGTTTAATATATTTTCATAACTATGTTTTATTAATACTGAAAATTCTATTAAATTGAATTTACAGTATTAATAAAACAAATATAATATAAATCAAGTCTGAACCTGAATTGAAACATTTTAAACTCGTAGTCAAGCATTTATGTGTTAAAAACTGAGCGAATGTAGTCAACACGTGAAAAAGTTTGTAAAAAATGTTAATGGCTTTTGCGTCACTGCCGACCAGATCTTTTCACTTTTATAAAGTACATAATTATATATATATATATATATATATATATATATATATACATTCATTTACACTATATTGTTGCAGTTTATTTAACAAGGCAGTGGAACTCTCTAAAAGCACTTCAAAACATTAGCACACTGTGACGTAACAGTAGGAACCGAAATCTTTAAGTGTTATTAGAAATCAAAAAATACCATCCTCAAGTGTTGGTGCATCGCAGTTTCTATGATAAATTAGCATCTTATCAAATATTTGAATATCATTATAATATATGGATTGAGGAAGTCTAGTTCCGATTGAGAATCCGGAATATGCATGTAAACAAGACTCGCGAGATTTATCGACACTGTTATTATGTGTTCTATCAATAATTTTACATATTAAGTTGTTTTGAATATATAAAAGTTGCATATTTTCAATCATCGATACGGTCAATAATTATTTATTTCACACTAATTCCACTCACATCACTTACCAATAATCGACACAAACACAAAACCAGCATTATTTTATAAATGATAGATCACTGTGACACAAATACTTAAATCGACCCTAATTAAAAGGAGATGACTCACTGCAGGGCTTGCAGGCGCTGGCCGTAGAAAGCACAGCGAGGAGGCACAAGGCACGGAACATGTCTGCTTGAGTCGCGGTCCAATCTGGAGGCAAAGGGAGACGCCGGCCCAGCTATTATAGGCCGCGGGCGGCGCCTCTGATAAGCCTTCGGGGCCAGGGTGATCGGACCAGGCCAAGTTCACGGATACGCGTCGACTGAACGTCGACGTCGCCGTCGTAACGCGCTCGCCGTCACCCCACTCGGCCGCGGGAACGGTGGAAGGAATAGTGGTGACCTTCATATCTATTCAATAGTTCACTTGCCGAGTCATTGGGTCAATTTTGATTTGGAAACTTTCCTTTTGCGCAGTAACTGGTGCATTATGTTCACGGATTAAACTCATTGTCAGGCCTGTTGTTCGTTTATTGGCGATTTCTTGATTCGCTATTGATTATATTGCCGTTACACGTAACTTACTGTGTTGTTAAAATATAAAAATTGTAAAATGATGACCATTCATGAGCGACACGAGTAATACATATATAACGAAATAACGGAATCGAGACACCTTGCGACAAGTTTCGCCCGATTCTTCACATCGACACTTATTTTGGCGTAATTAAATGGTGACACATTCACCTTATTCGGAATCAGAGAAGAAAAGTTATTGCGGGGCGTGATGGATGCGCTAATTATTTAAATAATTCTTTATATTATCTAAATTGCCATCTCTTATTGCAGGATATCTTGCATCATGTCATATTAAAGTGTATATTAAACTTGTACGTTGTGGCGCAGTTGTTTAAGATATATTACGCAAATTATTTGTTGCAGATGCGAAATCTGTGTGTGACCTAGATTAATTCTAGGATTCATTTTTATGCTTAAAATTGGTTTTGGAAAATAAGGCCGAACTATGAATTCGTTGTAAATATTTGTATTTGTAAGTTCAATTCAGTTATAGGGTGCGGCATTTAACATTTTTTGGCTATATAGGCGAAAATATAAGAACGAGTTGTTGACTCACTATGCCCTTACTTACCATTTGAATGGTAAAAGAAGTGAAAACAATAAAATGTAAATATTATTTATATTTTGAGAAATTTGATACTTTTGACTGGGTTTCGTAAGTTGTAACGAACAAACACAGAGATTTTCACAAAATATTGTCAACATCAGTATCAGTTTCGAAAAATCTATAGTTAAATATATGAAAATCTATAATTTATCAAGTATTTATCTCATTAACTCGCTCTAGTTTTAAAAACTACAGTTATATTTTCTTACTTTGATTGAATATTTAATGTACCTTTTTAATTAATTTTAAGATACATTAAATTACTTTTGCTTTTAAACGATGGGAATACGGGTTTTTAATTTGTGAGTGAATGTAACGTCCGTATATCCTTAATTTCGTCAAAATGTAACGGATTTGAGCCAAATTCGGAATGGATACTGATACCCTTGACTTACATTATACTTTTTATCGACGTATCCCAAGTATTTTATGACAACTAGCGTAGCCCGCACCTCCGCTCGCGTTCAGATCGCCAAAAACCAAATTCTTAGGTTTTACATTAGTATAATCTTACATTGCAGTTGTCTTTTTTCTCAGAAATGAGATAATTTCTCGCGGTAAAAAGTATCCTATATATTGACCCGGCTATCATCATACCAAATTTCATAAAAATCTGTCAAGTGGTTTTCTCGTGATGCGGTAACAGACAGACAGACAGACAGACAGACAAAACTTCTGTATCGATAATAATGTCTATTTCAATCAGATTATCCAAAAAATATTTAATATACAGATTCGACTTAGTTACAATTTTATTATATGTATAGTTAGGCACATCAATAAAAACATCCTATTGTTAACCCAATAATTTGGCAGAGTAGCGGACAAAAACTAGTGATAATATAATAAAAACTTCATGAAGAAATTAGTTTTTACAACAGGAAGTACTTTTTGAGCCATCTACAGACACAGCTCTAGTCTTTAATAGCGATAACAGCCTATAAGTTTGTATACATACGTACCTGCGTAATTATCTTCGTAAACATATTACGCAAGACATAATTTCACCCGCTGCCGGATGGACGAGCGGTTCGTTTTATTTCTTTATATTTGGAAAATCTTGCCCAACTCCTTACGTAATTCCAGGACTAAAGCAACGTTCGATATTCAGCAAAATTTCGCAATCTTCGATATTCAGTAACACAGTCTTTTGCGCAGTTGCACTGACCTACCATAAAACTTTTAAAAGAGTCGCTTTCGGATGTAATTGTAAGCTCGTTGCATGTCACGCTTCGACTGGGCATACGAGAGAGTGGAAGTATTATGTCTTCGAATAATTAAATTACCAAATATGGTGTTTATACCGCATTCATTAAATTTTTACCATGTTTCTTTTTCAAATTGTTTTTTTTCACATGGGAGTAATAGGTAAAATAGATATAGTAATTTGGGCAATTTATGCCTATTATTCTTATGTTATTTCATGTTACTTCAGAGTTGAGTTTGTAGTGCAAGACTTTTTATAAAATTTATAATAGTGAGCTGCTGAGGCTGAGCGAGTTTGAAGGTTTTTTTTTGTGTTTGGGATTGCTTAAATTTGCTTTTTTGATTTGTCATATTATTAAATTTAGAATAAATTGGTAGTATAAATCTCTTAATAGGTGCAGCAAATTTTTTTTATGGTTGTTATGGTTGGGCTCTCTCTCTTGTCTTGATCTTGTTTATAGGCATATGCAGCTTAATGTAGGGGTACCTGCTGTTTTTTTGAGTTTGAAATTATAGATAAACAAACATTTTAATTTTATATATGAAGAATTTCTAAGTAGAAGTAGTTCCGTGCTCAGTATAGGTTTATAAGTGTATAATTAGAGAGAAAGCATAAGCATTATTAGTGAGAGCTCAGGCGACATTTTGATTTCCTGTTACATAATTTCGATTTTCAAATAAGTATGATCGCAGTATTTGAAGTTATAAGTCGAAAGTGTACATTAAAAGGAATGAGATCACAAATTCTTGGTCACATACTCGTACATCGGCCGACTCTGGCGCCATCAAACTTAATTATTTTCCGGCTTTGACATTGTGATTCACCATGAAATACCATTGAAATATTTTATAAGTTCAAGTTTATTTTTATTTGACTAACCCATATTTGACAAAACTTGTCATAATCGTAGTGTAAGATTACAGATAAGGGTTCTGTGCCAAGGGTTTTTCAAGGGTTTACGTGATTGAGGTAAAATGCGTAGACAAACAATATTGGCCTTGGTGCGGTTAGTGGGTGTGTAGGCGCGCTGGAAACAGCCGTTCTGCATGAATATAGTAATGTGGGCCAAGGCGACTCGCCCGTATGTTGATAACGATGCAGCCTTCTACGCTACTTTGCTAATCCTTTGATGGACTTATTTGTTATGGGGTCGAAATGGAAGATTTTTATTTGAATGGATTTTTTTCGTTCTCGAGGTCTGTTACTGTTTACATGAGACAATAGGAAAATAATAAACAACTTATATTTATTTTATTCATATTTTTTTATGTATGAAATTGTGTTCTGATACTTTATTAAGGTCACTGCAGTTGGATTTTCATAATGTTATTAGTGAATAATGTGGATTAAATATATGTTATTTAAACATTTTAAATAATGTTCATCAAAATATTATCACGTTTTTAATGTTTTTCTTGAATAAAACTTGTTTTTAATAATTACACTACTCCAACGATATTATACCTATGTTCTAAAATCTAGTTTTAGTTAATGTTTCTGCATACTTGTATGTAACGGCGTTTAACTGCCTCGGTGGTGTAGTGGCTAGCATGTACGGCTGCACACCCGGAGGTCCTGGTTTCGAGTCCCGGGTCGGGCCAAGTTTAGTTATTGAGTCTTCCTGTATAGTAAGTCTCAGTAACAGCCCGGAGTTGGGAAGTTGGCGGTATTTCACCCCCGTGCCTCGGAGAGCACGTAAAGCCGTCGGTCCTGCGCCTTAACTCTCACCGGTCGTGTCGAGTGGTCGTCCCACCGGAGTATGAGAGTGATAGGAATAGAGAGTGCACTTGTGTCTGCGCGTACACTTGAGCACTATAATATCTCCTGCGCAGTTGGCTAATCTCATTGAGATTGGCCGCCGTGGCCGGAATCGGCTAGGAGAACATCATCATCATGTAACGGCGTTCTAGTTATACTTACATCCACGAATAAATAATATACAATCATCTAATTTAACATTTAAAGAATTTTAAATCAATTTTAATGTAGTACATACAACATTTGACTAAATTACATTTCAAATGGAAGCATTATTTTATTTGAAGAAATTCTTTTCTGAGATAGAAAGCACAAATTAAAATATCATTTATTGTATGCTAATTAATAATTAATATACATATAATAGCACCAATCTAAGGTCCTACTCAGAACAATACACCTACACCTACCCTGTTTATTAATATACCCTGGGTATATAGCTAAATAGAATACATAAATTTACAAACAGACAAATTCTCTTATTTATGATAATACGTATAACAGGTAAATAACTCCTTGGTGATCACTACTACCGATAATAGTTAAATATTAGCTTTACAAAATCAATGTACTCGTACCTATTTCACCATCACTAAGCAAAAGATTTCTTTTATTCCAAGAATTATAATTATCTGCTTAAAAATCAATTGGATGCGTCGCATTAAGGAAAAAGGTTGATGATTTAAACAACGTTTCATTAACGACGAAGAACTCTAAGCGAAGAGGTTCTTTTCTAAGAGGACTCCTCCAGTCTTTATTCTAACAATTAATTGCGGTGACTTAAAGTCCACCACAAAAATATTATAATTCTTTCTATTCTAAAGTAAAACGTAAGAGTTTAATTATTATTTTAGTAAAATAATTCGTTTTGCAAACAAAAACAACGATAAAAAATACAAACAACACGTCTGTGCGTATTGTACCTACTCATTTAAAAAACCTCGTCATTTGCACAAGACTATGTAGGTCCTAGATTCTAGGTGGTCCGTCCATATTTTGTTTAGAATGACATTAGATTGTTAACTTTCGACACAAGG